AGCAGGAGGGGCATCCTAGAAAAGCTTTCTGATCTCTGGTGCTGCCTGGTTCTGCTGCTGTTACCCAAATCCTGCTGGTCCTCCACCATGGTGTTTCCCTCTAGTGGTGGTTCTTTTGGCTGCTTTCAGGGCTGGATCTCTTTTGGCTTTGGGCTGTTGTCATCTAGTATGGGAGCAGGAATTTTGTCCTGGTCAGTGTCACTTGTGGGCTGAAAAGCCATGGTCCCTTGGGCAGGTCTCTGGTGTGGGAAGGCGACTGGAGAACAGATCTTTTCATGGCCTCGTTGAAAGAGATGGACAAAGGCAACCCTGTGAGGCTTGTTCTGACTGTCAATGGACAGGTAAAAGAACTGACACTCCTCTCTTCCCGTCCAGGGTCCCAAATGCCACTTCTCAGCCCCAGAATCTCCTTTTTTGCTCTCCTTTTCCTTCTCTACTACTCCAAAGTAGAGCTGACTTACATGAATCTGTTAATGCATGTCTGTGCTGAGCCTGAAAGCTCTGTGACGCTCCAGGCCTATCCTCTGAACACAGTTTTGCCAGAACACCTTGTGTGTGGCAGGAGACAGGCAGCCAACAGCTGTTCACTTCCAGTCCCACTCTCTCCTGGGTCTTTGGCACTTACATAGTTGTTTTACCTTGAGCTGAAGCCACTGGATTTAGCATCTTACAATGCCTGGCTTTTCTTCTCCTTGCTTGTTTTGTTGGTGTGGGAGATGAAAGGCAGGTTATTCATTGCAGGGAATCTGTCCCTTGCAGGACATGATTTTGCTCATCCTTTATGTGGCTGGAGGATAACGCGCTAAGGGTTCTGTTGCTGTTTCTGATGCAGCTGCTCCGACGTGTCTCCAGCAGTACACCTGTCCATCCCTTCCTTGTACCAGAGACCAGCCAGTCACCAGTGCTTCCAGCAGATGATAGGACCCTTGGCCAGGACCTGGAGGATCCTACTGAGGTATGGCTATTTTGGAGTCACTTTTCACTTTTTTCTTAGTGTCTTCTCCTTCACCAGTAGTGATTCAGTTCATGTCTAGCTGAAACATTTGCTGCCATTTTTTTGGTGGAGATATGGATAAGCAAGTTCTGGAGCCAAAGTTTCTCTTGTGCTGAAGAAAGATATATTCTCCATTGAAATGCCTTTTTAAATGTTGAATATAGTAGTCCTTGGTGGGATGGTCAACCAGCCCCTTCATTCCTAGTACAGATAGGCTTTTTGCCCTTCCATGTTTTAGCTGTGCCCAGCAGCCAGCAGTCTGAAAGCTGACTAGAGCACAGAGCAGCAGATAGCTGCACTGCTCAGCATCTCTTTGGCAGCTAATACTGATGTCATGTTCACCCTTAAAGCTCAATGGGAAGGTGAGCCTAAGCACAGTTACCACATCTCTGGCCCAGTAAGATGCAATTCACAGTAGCCTCAGGTATCTTTCTTTGGGGCTGATTTGGCTGGGGCTCATGTCACAGGTTAAGAGTCAGAGCTCAGAGGTGGCTACCAGAGCATCCAGGGCTGTGAAGGAGGACATCCGGCCACCGCTGAGGACCATGGTGGTACCCTGTGCTCTGAAGCCCCCAGCTGGAAAGGTGGAATCCAATGAGGCCTGGAAGAAGAGTCCTGACCAAGGACCACCACCAAGAGTCCACTCCAAAAAGCCCAGAAAGGTTTTATTTGAACCCACAGCATCTGAGAGAGATCTTGATGAAGAAGGTAATTCTGGTAGCTTCCAACTTTATTTTACAGATCTTGAATGATCTATCTATGCTGCTGTGCTGCACCTTCCCATTCCATTTCTCCATGTACCTCCAAGGCATGATGGGCTTGTATGTCTGGCTTTGAAATACTGAGAATGCACTTTATTTATTTAGCTGCTCAATGAGTTTTTGCCTGCTGGGAAAAGGCTAGAAATGGACCATGGGGTATAACATCTTAGTGCCACCACTTTTTACTCTGACATAATGCCTATCTTTTCATACAAGTAAAAGTGTTTTATAAACTAAGGCAAATATGGTTAACCTTGTTTTACAAAAGAGTAAACTGAGGCACAAGAAAGTTACCTTCTGTAACCTCTGCATTAGTCTGTTTGTACCCCTGCTAACAGCATACCACTTGGTGTATGGAAGACACTGGTTATTATTATAGTATAGAGAACATGAAAAGGAATTGTACTGGCCTTTGAGTAGTGAGAAGGTAACTGCCAAAGGGTTTGGAAAAAAAACCTTAGGCTTCTGGAGTGGGAATTCCAAGTCAACTCCTGAGTGTGACCAAGTTTATGTGTAAAGGTTTGGCTATAACTTAGTGGTTCCCATAAGAAATTACTTATTAGGACTTGCCTTGCTTGTCATAAAGGCAAATATAGCTTCATCATAAAGTTTTTTCTGCTGCAGGCAGCATGAGAAGGGGGGAAATTATCTCCTATCAGAGGAGTAAAATGCAATGGTGACAGTATTTGGTTGTCAGAGGAAGTGTGCCCTGCTCTTACCTATTTTCTTCAGATGAGACTTAATTCATGATTCTTGGTCTTGCACCTTGTTTGTTGCAGTGAGGTAGCTTTGTGCTGGAGGTTGGAGGAAGGAAGGTCAAAGGGCTCTTACACAGTGGAGCTGAGCACTTTTCACAGTATGTCTGCTGGCTGCTTTATGGGGCCATCTCTGTGTTCCCTCTGCAGATCTGGCAGTGAAGGAGTTGGAAGGTGAGGATTTGGTTCCTAGACCCTGGTTTGTCTTATCAGTCACTCAGTGATGATATTTCTTCCCTTCAACATCAGAAGCCTCCCATGCTTCATCCTGTATCTCCCCAGTGATCAAGAATAACAAGTAGGTCATACAGATATACTGTTCCTCTTCATGTAATTGCCATGAGTGCTTCCACTGCTGTCAGGCTCTCAAATATGTTTCTTTAGCCCCTCTGAATCTCAGGCACACCTCTGGGCACATAGCTCTTTGAGGAAAAGAGGTAAGATATTAAATAGACTTTGATTTTAAAAGTATTTTTTTAGCTTGCTCAGCCAACTGCAGGGGCCTGGGAGGGGAAGGGAGGAGGAACAGAGCAGTACAAGGAATACCTTTAGAAGCAGCTCCAGGCTTCTGATTGTTCTGTCTTAGGCACTGATGAGCTGTCCCTGGGTAGCCCTCCCTCACGAGGAGTAGTGCAGGGTGGGTAGCACAACTGAGATACCCACTTCTGGAGGTGGGGTAGTAAATGGGGACATCCAAGCCTGTCTGAAGTGGAAGCCTGAATGCATCCTACATCCAGCTGCTCCTTGCTCCTGATGTCTCTCTAAGTACATCAGTTATTTCCCCAAGCCAACTGAAAATGTTCCTCAGGGAGGTATGTCTTTCTCCCCTGCAGAGGGCAGGGAGCAGGGGCACTTGTCTTACCATTTCCCCCCCTGTGGGCATTCAGGTGGCTTGTTCTCCCCAGCAGGGAAGGGAGGCAGCTGAGGGTGTGCTGTCTGACTGCTCACAGACCTGTGCTCTTCCCTCCCCAGGCAGTCCCAGCCCTCGGTGGTGCCATGCCATGTGCCTCAGTGACCTGGGGACAGCTGTTCTCATTGGTGGAGAAGGTGTCAATCAACAGTCCTGCAGGGATGCTCTCTGGAAGCTGGAAATTGGTGGGGACTTGAGGGGACTTTAGACTTTGTGAAAAGCAATGGGGACAGTGGGACCCAAGGATAGCTCATGCAGATGGGAGGGGGTACTTGGGCATCTGTGCATATAGAGGGGACAGCAAAGGCATCACATCTGGCATGTCACCAGGCTGAGCTGACAGCATAGAGTGCCTTATGAGATTCTGGGATTATACTTGAGAACACTCAAGGAGCTAAGGTAGAAGTTCTGGAAAGAGTTGGAATTTTAAGGGGTAAAAGCAACAGTGCAGTTTGCAGTCTGTGTGTGGTGACTGGTGGAAAAGTGTGAGATAGAATTCCAGTGCCTTGTGTCTTTCTGCACCTCACTGGTCTTCTCTTTCACCTTGCTATTCCCCATCATTCCTTACAGAAACCATTCTGTATGAATTCCCTCTAGCTCCAAATCAGAGGAGAGGAGGAAGCAAAGGGAGCAACATTTTGAGTAAAGATTTTATGGCATATTCTTTAAATCTAGAGCGATCAAGGACATTTTTGAACTCCCACACTGTGTCTGCTGTTGTTCCACAGACAGTGATTTATGGCTTTCAATGGGTCTCCAGCTACAGAATGCCATGCCATCGTGCTTGCATGGTCACACAGCCACCTACGACCCTGACACCAAGCGGATCTACATCTTTGGGGGCATAAGGGAGGACAAAGACTACAGCAGCATTTACATTCTGGACACAGTCACCTGGAAATGGCTCTTTGTGGCTGTGAGTACTGCATCTCTTCCAAGACAAAAGTGCAGGAGGAGTGGCAGGTTCTGCCTGAATGTGACAGTCCATGTGCACGTGTCCTTAGTCCAGTGGTCTTGGTCCACTGTTGGTGCAGGCTGTCTGAGATGCATAGCTGGGTTTGACAGGTATTAGGAGGCTGTGTTCAAAAGCCACATGCTGAACAGAAACCAGGAGCTGTGCCTACAATGAATGAAGCAATGGGAAAAAATGGCTGCTGCAGAGGGCTCTGCCTGACCAAGCTCAATGGTGGGAGGTACTGTACAAGTAGCGGAGGGAAATGGCCTCTCATTTTATATGGTGTAATTGAGGGCAGCACCAGATGCTGAGGTGCAGAGCCAGTCTTCTCAAATCAGGAACTGCCCTGAGTACAGCAGAATTCTGAGCCCTTGTCAGCATGGGACTGTCTCTTTCCTGGTAAAGCACAAAATGGCTTTTACAGAGTAAGCCTGGATGAGATCTTTCTGTTCCCTGACATCTTCTGAGGAAGGTGTGGGAGGCTGACTTCCTTTTCTTATCAGAGCATTCTGGTGCAAAGAATGCAAAGAATGTACTGTCTGCCTGTGCAGCAAAGATCTGGCAGGGGAGCCAATAAAGTGAAAATTGAGACTTTTCAAACTCATTGGATGATGTGAGCCCCTTTCCTATGGGTCATGCAGCAAATAATGCACTTCTTGTAACAAATACATATTAAATCTTTCTAGGCTAAAGGGAGGATACCAGTGCTCGCCTACCACAGTGCAACTATCTACAACAAGGAGCTCTTTGTTTTTGGAGGAACTTTCCCCAGAAAGGCATCGCTGGCAGTTGCACCCTGCAGCAATATGCTCTATGTCTTCAATCCAGAGCATGAAATTTGGTATCAGCCCATTTCAGAAGGGGAGAAGCCTCTTCCTAGGCTTGGGTGAGAGTGCTTTAATTCTAGCTATCCAAAATAGTGCAGGAAACCTCTACTTATCTTCCCTCCCACACCAGTGTGATTTCTTAAATATTAGGTGATTGCTCTCCACCATGTATTCTTTAAGATAGGGCTGTGTTTAGAGCAATGGGATTTTCAGTACCTCCTGTTGTGAATCCTGATGAGATTTTGTCCCAGGTGTAGACTGAAGCTGTGGCAGCCCAGTAGAAGAGGCCAAGGCTAAAATCGAAGTTTTGGGAACTTGCTGAAGATGTTTTATTAATTTGCTTGCTCTCTGCCCAGGCATTCAGCTACTCTATTGAAAAACAAGCTGGTGATTTTTGGGGGTCAGAGGACTTCTGTCTACCTCAGTGACATGCACATTCTGGATCTGGGTAAGAAAGTCTGTGCCTCAAAAAGGTCTGTTCCAAGACAGGGACTTGGGAGTGAGGTGTGCTCAATGGGAAAATAGCAAGAGCATTATACAAACTCCTGACTAGGCAATGGAGATGAAAAACTAGGGGTTAAAAAAAACCCCTTTCTGGGGCAATAAGGGAGGGAAAAAAGAAAAAACAATGGCTTTTTTTGGAAGAAGTTGGGTAACAGATAAGGTAGAGGCATTGCTGATGTGGCAGAGTATGTTAGTTTTTGTCTAGTTATGAGGCTGAGGTTTTTGGACATTTCACCTGCCTTTTCTCTGTCTGTCAGGTTTCATGGAGTACACATCAGTCCCCCTCCTGGCAGGACAGCCTTCTGCACGTAGGTAAGACTCTCTTGCAGACCCAGGAACTATCTTCTGTCATTTCTCTTTGAAGCCAGGTTTAAACTGTACTTGTGATCAGACCCAGCTGCATATCTCTGTTCCACTAGTCAAAATACAGTGGGTCTTCTCTCCACTGTGGGGCCAGGAGTTCCTGTGCTGTTGGTTCCTGTATGGTGTGCAGGGATATTCTGTAGTCTCCTTGGAAATCTCTCTTTCAGGCTAGGGTAAGTTTTCTGCTGTGTGCTAGTAAACTGTATGGCCTGCTGTTTGGTCTTCACAGTGCCTGGACAGGTGTTGTGCCACACAGAGGAAGAAACTCCTGTACCAGGACTGTGTTGTTCCTAAAGGGACAGAATTGCTCACTAGAACAATGATCTAAATCTGTGCAGAGCCTAGCTGCCCTGCTATCTCACCCCACAGAGCAAAGCATAGGAGTTTTGATAGCTCCTTCTGAGATAATGAATTGCTATTCAGGCCTGATTGTGGCCTGACCTGCAGAGGCAAACATCTCTTTTAGGGTTATTCTGCAAGTCAGGGTAGAGAGAAGCAGAAGTCAACTTTGTTCCTGCAGCTTAAGCCCCCAGCCTCCTAATCAAGTTGCCAATCCCTGCCCATTGCTGATTGAGGCCATCCCAGCAGGTTTTGTTGCAGTCACCTTTTGACTTTGCTTTGGTCACAGCTTTCATGCAGCTCTGGCTGTGTCGGACCAGAAGGTTCTGATCAGTGGAGGCTGCAATGCCAGAGGAGCCTTGCAAGATGCCTTTGTCTTCCACCTAGGTGAGTGACTCTCCTGCCCTGTTTTGATAGCTCTGGGGCTGCAGTGGTGTTTCTGAACACCTAGCCTAGTCCATTTGTCTCATCCCTTGCACTAGGAATGGGCTTGTCAGTATTGATATCCCCTTTCCACTTCAGACACTCTTTCATGGAGCACAGTGATACACCACGACCTCTGCTCTGTTCCCCGAGCTGGCCACACACTGCTTGACCTGACTCCTGCCCATGTGATGGATATGGACAAGGAGAACACAGAGGAGCAGAAGCTGCACATGGTGTTGGTCTTTGGGGGCTCCAACTGTGCTGGGACCTTTTATAACAGCACCCTCAAGATCCAGCTGGACCTAGGGTAATGCATGATTCACAGAATGAGCCTGAACAGCAAGGCTCTTCACCAGCCTCGATACACACATGGATGGCAATAAATGAGTCCAAGCAACTTGGCAGTCCAGGAATCTGTATGTAGGTGAATGGCACCTTGGTACAAGAGACTGGGTCTGTAAGGTCTGAATGCCATGGGTATTGTTTTACTAGGGTACCCGTACACAGTATCTGGGCTCAGGTGCCAAAACATTCAGTGGGATCTGAGCTGACTCTGCACAAGAACACAGACAAAGGTTATGGGTTCCTTTCTTGCCCTACAGGTTTTTAGCTGGAATTCCCAGGGTGCTTTCAGCTTTGTGGGTGACTTAGGTGTTTGGTTTCATTTGGGATGAGTGAAATGGTATTTATTGCTGCTATTTTACAGTAAAAGCACAGGCATGGTTCTGGTTTGGAGGGAATCTGGGGTGGAATTTCCTTGGGCAACAGTCTGCAGCTGAAGGCCAGGAAACCACCTAGAGCAGTATCTGAGGATGGGAAAAAGAAGAGAACATAATTTTCATTGTAAGGAAGAGAGCTGGTTGTGCCTTGCTGTCTAAGGCACCATCACCTAGCTTTGCTCTAGGCAGACCTTTTATAAAATCCATGTGACTGCTTTTATTATTGCAAGGGGTGACAGAGCTGCCAACTTGGCTCTTTCAAGACCCCAACAAGGGCTAAGCTATCTTCCATCAGAGACTAGATCTGATTGTTTATATCCATGGAGCTGATGACTGTGCTGTGGCTCTGAGGCAGCTCCAAGGATAAGCACACTGTGTATACTCATTCCCTGATGCCCTTTCTGTAGATGGTAGAAAGAAATAGCCCCTGTGAGGAATAGAGAATTGACTCAATGCCTCACAGTTGTTTGTGGTCACATTCCCCAACCCAAAGCCATACAGAGGGAAGTTCTGATCATTATGGATACTTCTGCTTTAATCTGCTTCATGGAGATAGACTGCATAGAAAAAACTAGTAGCTGCACATATTTCAGCACAGACATAGCTCCTATGTTATCCACACTATTTCCAGGTCCTCTGTCCTTCCCACCCAGATGAAAGGGAAGGCACTGGCACTAAAGTCATACTCAGCCTGTAGGTGTTGTCTTCTTTATCATGGCAGCTTTGTGGATTTAATGAGCAGAAAGGCTTCAAGCTCGCAGCTCTGCAGGAGTATCTGGCTGCCGGGAAGGGTGGCTTGTTTTGAAGGCCTCTAACTCCAAGAGAGCTTTATTTATTCTGGTTATTGTGGGATATGGACCCATATCCACTTTGAATCTGTAAAAGGAAAAGAATTTGTGAAGTACTAGGAGTTGGAGAGGCAGTGCAGCAGTGAGCAGAAGTGCAGAGCAGTGTGATAGGCCTGCCTAGTATGGGAGAATCTCACAGGCATTTTCACTAACTGAAAAGGTTCATCCCTGTAGGTTTACAAACAAATGCTAGAGAGATTAATCAGTGCCTGGAGAGGTTGTAAAGTCTCCTTCTCTTAGAGATAGTCAAGCTGGATGCAATCCTGTGCCACTTCCTCTAGCAGGGAAATTGGACTGGGTGACCTCCAGAATTCCCTTCCAACCTCAAACTCATTCTGTGATTGTGTGATTTTCGCCAGATTTTTACATGATGTGCAGCACAAAGTAAGAAGACACTGCTTTTCCTGGGAATCATGCAGCCTACTTGTATGGGTTTGAGGCTTTAAATAAAATCTAAAAGATTAATATTTTCCTGTATGCAGTGTAAGAATAAAGCAAACAGGGACAGAGAACATGGAGTGTGGGCAACCTCAGCTTTTCTAAGGTCATAGATCAGGTTTCCCCAGGGGTCTCTAAGAGGAGACCACAATTCACTACTTCCAAAAGAGACAGTATTTATGAAGTAGGAAAACTTGTGGAGAGAAGATATGTAAGTAGACAGGGCAGGCAGGAGGGATACTTTCTAACAGGCATAAGGAGCAGCAGAGAAGGTAAGCTCTGACAGCCCAGCATAAGTAGATGTGTTGAAGAATATCTCAAACTTAGCCTTAATTACCTTTCAGCATTGGCAACTTGAGGCACTAAACACAGATCAGCCATGGAAACCTGCAAATATAGCAGAGAAAAGAGGTTAGAATAACTCAGAGCCTGTCCCCTCACACTTCCCAGTGGTGGCAGACTTTGAGACCAGGACAGAAATTATTTTATCAGCCAGTACAGAGGAGTTGTCATGATGATCTAATTATTTAATTCAGCATTAATACTACAGCAACAGTACAAGAAAAATAACTTCATTGCAGTTACTAGGAGAAGCCATAAGCTTTTAGGGAGCTTTATATTTACCAGCTGATCATTATGACCTCAAGGACACTGTGCTTCTATGGCAACTGCCTCTAAGCAAACACATCTGCTGGCAAGCTGCAGAGGGAGGTGATGGAGGGAGAGGGTGTTTGCATGGCAGGAAAAAGTTAAATAAATTTTGCTTGTTTGCACTGCAGGAGTATAAAGCAGGTCCTGCCAACGTCAAGACTTGATATGTGATAGGACCTCTGTACGCAGGCTCAGAGACTTGCAATCTGAAAGGAAGACTTAATGGCAGTGCTGCTGGCTGCCTGTCTGCACAGACAGAGGCAGCTGCTCCCACCCTGCTCCTCAGGTCACAAAGCCCTGGGTTCCTCTCAAAGCACATGTTATTCTCCAACATTAGATCTTGTAAGTAGCTTTTGCCTACCAAGGGCTCCATAAGGCCGCTGCTATACAATTCTCTGCATCCCACAATAATGCAGGAGCCTTCCTTTTTTCTAAGGCTTTTATAGGAAAGATCTTTTGCCTGGCAGCAGAACTAATAAATGGAAAAGGCCTGAGATACCTCTAGTTTGGTAAGGGTCAGAACAGCTCTTATGTGAGCTCTGTGAAATCTGTCCATCTTAAAACTGGATGATCAGAGCAGAAAAATACAAGTTGGTTAAAGGTTCCATAGAACAGAGCTAACAACTGAAACAAGTTTCTTGAGCCAAGCTTTGTCTGTATGACAGGACATGTTGAAGTCCAAATGCCATAAAGATGAAATGATAGATCCTCTTTTTCCACATCCTGTAGTACCAGCCAGATCCTAGATACAGCTGCAGAATCTGGCCACCAGCAGGTTATAGGCAGGGACAAGTAAACATCTCCATAACTCTGCCAGTCAGTAATGGCCTAACTAGCATCCATGCAGCTGTTGTTTGTTATGGTGGGCACTGCATGTAATTCTAGGAACTGGATGGGGTTGTGCTCTTGTCTCCTCAGCTAATTTTCTTTCCTCATTTAGGGGAAGGTACTGGGCTTTTCAGTCCTGCAGTAGCAGACAGGGCTCTCTCAGATACTTACTTCATCCCCCACACAGTAGCGTCCAGCAGTGTTCTGCAGAATCTGCTCCAGTGCTGTCAAGAGAGGTGGTACACTGGAATGAGTCAATAGAAAGGGACACCAAACACTTTCTAGACTGGGAATTAAGTACAAGGGCATCTTAACCCTGAGCAGAATATGAAAAAGGAGTATTTTGGGAGAAACTAGAAGGAACGGAAATCTTACTATAGTTATGGGAGTCTTTAGGGTTCTTCAGCTTTTTTTGGACCCAGGGTGCTTTCAGCTGCTTTAGACAATACACTTGAAATACTATGAGGTTAATGTAGAAATATGTGATTGGGGAGGGGAAAAATGCAAAGGTTCAGTCAGTTTGTGTCTGTCAGGAAGTGAAGATGGGCCTGTCATTGTGGCACACGGGGGAAAGGATTTTGAGGGAACCAAAAGCACTTTATTTCTCTCAAAAAGGCAAAAAAATACTCTGCTACTTGCTAAACTCTGTGGGAGTTTGCTATTAGGTGTCCAATTACAAAAACCTATCTATGTATATGAAGAACTTTAGAAGTGCTGTGAGCCCTGGTGCTTCAGAATGAATCAACTGCTGCAATGTGCAGGATGGCACCAGGTTCCCCTCTTCCATGTGCAGCAGTGGAAGTGTTCTGTGCACATCTTTCCTCTGAGATTCTGGGGAGCTACCAGTCCTGGACAAGTGACTCTGGGCAGGGAGAGCACTGTCTCTGCCAGCAAGGCAGGACCCCAGCACACCAGCCTAGGAATATCTGTGGTTCTACTTGAAAAAGATGAGTAGAATGCCAGGGTGTAGCATTTTGTAAGGTCAGGTGAAATACTGATAATTTTGGATGTGGGATGTACCTTGAAAGCCAGACATGATACAGTTCTGAGCCCATTCCATTTTTTTCTCCCCCATTTGTTTCAGGACATTCAGGTTCTGTGAAGGCAAAGCAATCTCTAGGTTAGATAACTACTGCTGGCAGGATCTTACCCACTGTGTTATCCAGTGGAGGAGAGGGGAGATGAGGGGTTGCCAAGGCTGGACTCCTGAGTTCAGGGGTGGCCTGAACTCAGTTGCCAAGGCTGGCCTGAGTTGACTTGGTTGGGTCAGCCCTGACCTCACCTTGCACTGAATCATGCACCCTGCTGTATCCTTCTCTTGGCACTACCCTTCTGTAACAGTTGCCAGGGTATCCCTTTGCCTCTTCCCTTTCAACTGCTCAATTCTCTTCTTCCTAAAACAGCCTAGACTCAGCAGTAAAACGATATGGATTCAGCTCTTTCTGGAAAGGACCCTGGGATGCTATAGTATTTGCTGTATTGGAAATACAGTATTGGTGCCATTGATCTCTAGATCAAGCAGAGGTTAAGCAGATTTTATCTGCTAGCACACCAGTCTGAAATTCTGCCACCTAGCTGGCTGGCAACAATTTAAGGAGACTGAGAAATTTCAGAGACAGAAATTCTTTTTGATTTTCGCACTTGCATGGATCTGACATGGCAGTACCTGGAGTGGCTGAATGCCAGAGGCAATGTGATCAGCAATCATTCTGACTTGGGCTCTCTTCTTTGGATCTTGGGGCAAGAGCCTGGGGTTAGGATGAGTCTCTTCTAGGTAGTTAATTATAGCTAGCTGTAATGAAAGAGATAATGGGAGGTTATTGCAGAGCCAAGGAAAACTTCACATCCTGGACACCTGGGAAAGGGGAGCTGATCCAAGACGATACAACAGCTTTTGCATGCAGTTTGTTACCAACCCAAAGAACAGAATAACCCCTCTGACATCTGCCTGTGACCTTGTCATTTGGTCCAGCTGTAATTTCAGGCAAACCATGGAACAGCCATCGAAGTCAGACGGCTTAGTGAAAGGTGGAGTGATGAACCAAAGCAGAAGTGAACTTTAATCCTTGACAGTAGTTTCCCATCAAGGAATATGTGCTATTTCTGTTCCCAAGTGGGACCATAAATGCCACCTCTTTTCCCATGTATAGGTGAGAGCTCTGGGGAAAAAGATGGGACAAAGCTATCCCATTCAGATTGGGCAGCAGGCTGGAGTGAAAGGTTAACAGGGATGTGGCTCATAGCTCACCGACTGAGAAAGGGTGATGCCATCAATTTTCAAGGCTGGGACTTGCTGCATTGGATTCAGTGCTTTGAATTCAGCAGAAAACTGTGGAAACAAACCTGAAATTACTCTGCAGCAATAAGAAATTCTTCTTCCTTGTTTTCTTCTCCCAGAACCCAGTTACCAAATTTGTTTTCCTTCTTCTTTTTCTCTCTACCTTAATATTAATCTTTGCAGTAAATTATGCTGTACTATTAGCCTACTAAGCTCTCACTAGGGCTCAGGGATCACTGCATCCTAGCCCAGACTGCATTATCTCTTGATAAAGCACTACTGCAATGCCCAGTGATACTGCATCAGTGCCACCATTACTGTCCCAGTTGTCCAACTCTTCCTTAGCCCATACCAGCCCATTGAGCCCATGGTACCAGGAAGTGCACAACTCCCTCCTATGGACCCCCAAGTAAGGCCTCAGTCAAGATCTCTTTTGGCAAGCCACCTCTTCCTTTCATATATTTCAGCCCCCTGCAATATAATTTAGCATCTCTTGGACATCCCTGCCTCTATGCATCTTCTGTTGCTAATTGAATCAGGCTGAGTCTGTTTACTGTGTGGGGCAGCTTCTCTGAAGTCTGTGCTTGAGATATATTTAGTTGTATCATGGTAAGCAAAAGATCTTCAGCCTTATGGATTCAGTCACAAATGTCTGAGAGAGGAAAAAGCCTCTAGTCTCCTGCAGTCATATTCTCCTCCTGTCTCAAATGGCAGGGAATACTGGCTGAAAGCAACTATTAATGACAAAGAAGTGGTGAGGAATTCAGTAACTTTGCCTGTGAGCTTTCTAGTGCTAATCTCAAGTCTCCTAATGATCCCCAAGTTCAGTACCCTGAAGAGAGCAGTGGTATTTTTATCCTTACCTGCTGTCCTCCATCCTTAATGAGGTTCACTGGGACCAGGTCATAGGAAATTCCTTTCAGAGCCAGTGCTAGGGAGAGCAGAGTGTACAGCTTCAGACACCTACACTGGGACCAGTTTCATTGGTAATGGGCTCAGGAGAATGTTAGCATCTACATTTGGAAAAAATGACCCTCTCCCTCAAGGAGGGTGGCCTGAGTCCACTGAGAAGACAGTGCTCAGGCACACGAAGGACCAAAGTACTAAAGACCAATCCTGCCAAAACCACTGCATTTTTCAAAATAAGCTTTGCAACTCTTTGCAGCACAGCCCTTCCTGATTCAGCTTATAGAGGGCAGGCCCATGTGCTCAGCTTTAAAACCTTTCTGTCTCAGTACAAGTAGGGACCATTCCCAGCCCTGCTTAGCTCTCATGACCTGGGCAGGCCAGAGTCTGAGGTAGTATCATGAAGCCCTCTTATCTGTTCCCTTCTGTTCCACCTGCTGCAGGTAAGATGCTCTCTTCCCCACCCTCCCCATGGGGAGATGCCTCACTGTTCCAGGCTCATGTTGGCTGACGTCTCTGTTAATAAGTGATTGATTAATTGGGTTAGTGAAGGGGAGGATGCAGCAATACTGAGACAAAAAAAGAGAGATGAACACTGGTTCTTACCGATTCGCACTCTCCAAGAACAGGAACTTCGGAAATAGCTGTAAAGTATTGGCTGGGGAGAGAAGGATAAAAGGTTATATGCTGGGAGCACCAGGGCATTGAATGTAAGGGAAAGAATGCATGAGCAGAAGCCATTTCAGGAACTCTAAGGGGAGAGCAATGTTTGGAGGAGAGGGCTCCTTTCTGAAAGTAACTGTTCCTGATTTGGGCATACAGGTAGCATCACTGTCTCTCATAATAGCCTTCTCATTATCCAGTTGCACCTGATGTTTCCAGCAATGCAGAAATGACCTTGAAATTAGTCCCTGTAAAGCTTCCCTCTTTGTCCCTATCCAATATTGCTAACTTCTGTCCCATCTTAGATTTCTGAAACAATTTCTGTACTGATTGTGCCAAGCACCTGGGTATTTGTATGATATGAAATAGCTTTTGCAGCCATGCAGGGAAAAGCCAGATTTCTTTCCAAACAATAAAAGTTTCTGCTATTTGAGATGAAAGCCATGAAGACAGACAATTCATCTCTACCTGAACTATGAGACTAAGGCAGCCTTCCCAGATGCTTCCACCCTGTCCAAACTCTCACCTTTTCAGATGCCATGGTAAGTGTGTGCAGTTGCCTCCACGAAATAAAAACAACCTCTATGTTTTCCCTTTTAACTCAGCTGGCATGGGGAAAGGCTTCTCTCTTAAAACCAATAAGGACTTTGCCCCCCAGTCTGTTCCCAGGACACAAAGACCAGCCAATTAAATTCAATCCTGAGTCACTGCAGTCACCCTCTCCCAGCCCTGATATCAAAACCATTAACAAGATTTAAGCTTGGAAGTGCATTTGGGAACCATTCTTATTTCCATAGCTTTTCATCCAGAAATAAATAAGGTGTCTGGAGAGCCTCACAAGCTGTCACCAGTTGCCAATGCAGAAATCTAACCCTGGAGAACAAAAAATTAAAACCAAAGCTGCATGCAGAATTTATTTTTCACTAGGGAATGATTGCTAGCTCTGGGAATGGGCTGCCTTTGCAGAAAGATTCCATTGTGTGCTCCTGTAGCTCCCCTCCCACCAGTATTGGCCAGTACAGGGGATTTTCTACATTGCAGATATGGGAGAAGCTGCTATTCTGCCCTCAGACCAACTCCGTGTAAAATAAAAGACTGCACTTTTTTTTTGTTTCAGAGCTTTTTCTTTCCACACAGGAAATTAGTACCCCTGTATGTCTCTAAATAAACCTGTAATCATGTCTCTCCTTGCTTACACAGATCCCATGGCATGCCATAGGTCTCTCTGTGTCTCTACCCACCTAAAATGCATAGAAGATTTCTCAGAGACTTAGCAGCAAGACAAAAGAATGCACAGATATGCTCAATTATAGTCTGTCAACAGAAAACCAGAGACACTGGTGATCTCTGTGCTCCAGTCCTCTTTGTAAAGTTCATGCTTCTCTTACAGTTTAGATTGGCTCAAATAACTTCAAATGAGGTATATCTTTCACTAAATTACTCAGATTTATAAGTGAGGAGGAAAGAGATGGAAAGTACTGGTAACACTTAAGTGGATAAAATATTTGCTGATTTTCTAAAATTCTCCCTGGATCAGGGCATTAGAAATATCAGCTATCTTCATTTTTCAAATGTCTAGCCTGGTGAGTTTCAGGGAAAGAAACAGAAACTATGGCTTCAAAAGAGAAAATAGAGCAGTCATGAGATACTAATTTTACTTGCATTTCCTGAGGACTTGCTAATGATTTTTTGGCTCAGAAATTCATGTCCTTCACTATGTCTATTTTGGACTCTGGCCTCTCAGCCAGCAGAGACATTTCTCCTGATTCTCTCTGCAGTTCTTTTTTGGTTTTACAGCCTATGCTATCATTTTGAATAAACTGTGCTATGCTAATTGCATTGCTCTATAATTTCAAGGCCCCGGGGATTTCACCAAAAAGAACATGGAAACCAACCCATCGTTCAGCTGGGAACTGTCTCCAGAGGTTGGGGCATGGAGTGATCTCTTGAGTTCATGCTGTTTTGCTCCTAGCAGCAGGGCAGATCACAGGCAAAAATAATCAGCTAATTAAAGACTACAGACAACAGAAATGTTTTGTCCTTAGTGGACAGATCCCAGAGCGACACTGTCAGCATTTCCTCTGAGGAAATGCTGAGTATGGTCCAGGGAAGTCTCAGGAAAGAATTTTCTGCATTTTCAACCCTGTGGGATAAAATCCCCAAACCCTGCAGTTTAGCCTGGTTGGAGCTGGGATGATGCGGGAGGACAGAGTTTGCTTGATGTCTACTGAGAGTTCTGGCTTGCTTCTGTTTTCATTTCTGGCAATCAGTGAGGAAACTTTGGGCTTAAATACCAGTCCAGAGTAAAAATTTGGGAAACACACTTCCCTGTTGTGAAAGACAGAAGAAACGCCCCTAGCTTTGTATGTTGACCTCTTAGGTTTTCTGTCTTCTTCAGAGTAGTACGGTCTACTCTGGGTATCACCTCTTTCCAGGCGATATATGGGATGCACTTGGAAAGGCCAAACCTCTCACCTTTCCTGAGACCCACCAAGCCCAGCAGCCTGCACGCACACACTGCTCCTTGGGGGCTGCCCTAGGGGACACCTCGGTGCCCGAAAGGCACAGCTTGTACTCTGCTGGGTTCAAATGGAAAGCAGAAAGAACAATTGGCTCCTAAATTCTCAGTATCTCTTCAGCAGGAATTGATGCGAACAGTGCACGCCAATAAAATACGCTAAGTAAGGAGCACGGCTAAAAGCATCAGCACACTGAATCATTTTATTTAGCGCGGGGTTAAACGCCTTGCTTTCCACTCCGACAGACACACGGGTGCCGGCCGGGGCAGCGGGGGCGCGCTCCTCCCGGGAGCCGCCGTCCCGGCCTTCCCGGGGCACTACAAGCCACAGCCGGCGACGAGGCCGAACCGAGCGAGGCCCGGGCAGGCCGAAGACGGAGAGCCGCCGCCCCAAGCCCCGCTCCCACCGGCCGTGGCGCCGTCATCGCCCCCCCGCTCCCCTCCCGCCCGCGGGGAGAGCGCGGAGCCAGCGCCGCGTACCTTGGCGGCGGCGGCGCTCATCGCCGTCCCGGCCTGCGCTCAGGGCTCGGCGGCTGCGGGCACCGCACGGCCGGGACTGCATCCCCCGGCGTGCCCCGCGCCCCGCCGCACTCCGGCCCAGCATGCGCCGCGCCCGGCGCGGTGCAGCGCGCGGCGGGTGCCCGCGGATGCCGCCGCGGCAGCGGGAGCCCCGCCGGGGGCCGGGGGCGCCGCCGCGTCCCGCCCCGCCCGCCGCCACCCGCCCGGCCGCTCTGGCCATCGTCACCCTCCTCAGCTTCGCCTCCCGCTTCCACCGCCTGCGGGAGCCGCCGCACGTATGGTACGGGCCGGGCGGGGCGTGCGCCTCTCCGGCCGGGCGCTGCCCGGGCCCCGCGGTGCGGGTGGGTGCGTGTCCCTTCTGCCGGCCACAGCGGCCGGGACTGCACCCCCGGCAGGTGGGGGACGGGACACGGCAGCGAGGGCCGCAGGGCAGGGCTGCGCTCTCCGGCCAGCCCGGGCCGGCCCCCGCGCCGTCCCCGCTGCTCTCGGGCCGTGCTGCAGGAGGGCACCGGGTACCGGGGAGGACGTCTTGGGGATCTTTGTGCAGCAAGCGGACTTTTAAACCTCGCTAAGGTCAATTTGAAAGCAAAAGGGCAAACCTTTCGGCAAACCTTGGAGGTTTTGCAGTGATAATATAAAACTCCTTAAAAAAAGGACCTTTGCTACAATGGCTGCAGTGCTGTCCATGATTTCCCACTGAGTATAACGCATTGTCTCATATGGAATATATGACAGTATCCCTCTATACTATAAAAAGCATAAGTAAAAAGATCTTCCTGGATTTTTTTTTAAACTCTCTTCAGCATTGTAGCAGATTGGTTATTGTGGTTTGTGTTTTGTTGGTGTGTTTTTTCCAGTTGGGATGAAACTCATTTTGGGAAGATGGGAAGTTACTACATTAATCGGACCTTCTTCTTTGATGTCCATCCCCCTTTGGGGAAGGTAAACTGCTTTTCTGTTCCATGTTTCAGAAGCCACAGGAGTGGGCCAATAAAAGTCTCTGCCTTCTGGCCAAAGGATGTGGTGAACAACAAAGTCCTTCCTAAGTGTTGTTGTTGACACCACAGCAATTTGCATTCTGTGTCCAGAGCCTCAACTTGCAACTTTTTGTTCTCACAAAAAATTGCTTCAAATATAAGAAAACGAAACAGTATTGTATGTTGGGTTTTTGAAAGGCTTGACATGAAAAAATCAGTGTGACACTTGGGGGGCATATGTAATAGAAGCCTACATTTTAAAGGAAGCAAACAGTTCCTGATAACTTGTAAGCAAATGAAATGCCTGCCACAAATGACCCTGAGGGCATTGATTCCTGTTCTGTAAATGAACTTGTTTTAGCAACAGTGTGTAGTGTGGATGGAGGTGCATTCTCCTGCCTTGTCAAAGTTATCTTTCTTTCAGACTGAGTCTCCTGAAACTAAACAGATAGGGATCTATGGGAGACTTAACAGATTCTCTCTGCTCAACTCCACACTTGCTATTTTCCTTGAGCTTGCAGTCAGCCTTATGGTCTTGCAAAAAAAATTCTGATTTTGCCTTAAGACGAAGAGCAGTATGGATGTAAATGATTTCTGTAAATAAACTCTTTTTTGGATGATGTGTCTGAATTATTTGTCCTCTGAATCAATGGGCCTTCTATAGAAATCTTACCTGCTGCTGGCCTGGATACTCTTTCCTCCAGTGTGATTTTCCTGACCAGTTTTTTCACGTTTTCTCTTCAGATGCTGATTGGACTTGCTGGCTACCTTAGTGGATATGATGGTACATTTCCTTTCCAAAAGCCAGGGGATCGATATGAGCAGCACAACTACGTAGGGATGAGAGGGGTAAGGCTCTGCAGGCTCCTGTCAAGCTGGTTAGCTGTCCTGTGCCTTTCAGTACAGTGTTCCATCGTAAGAACAGCTCTCCTCGATCAGGTCAGAGGTCTGCTTAGCCTTGTGCCTTGTCTTTAAGCTCCTTTAAAAGTGTTAGTGGTTCTATTGTGAATAGGTCTTAATGTGTCTCTGAGAGGCCAGGTAAGAAATTAAGATGAAAATTGAGGGCAGCTCTTCCTGCTAATTAGTGAGACTACACTGCTGCATGGGATGGATACCTTGCCTTGTCTGCAAAGCAAACATTGCTGAGTTTGAGCTTCTCTCACTCCATTGTGCCTGGCTGATCTCCTGGGGAGCCAAGGGTATCAAAAACCCAGGGTCATCCACTGTCACCTGCCCTTTGCCACCACTGGTGACACTAAGCTGAGTACGCTGATGGAGTCTAGGACAGCAGGGCAGAATTCGGAGTTGTATTTGATCTGAAACCCTGGCTCTGCTGCTTTTTAGGAAGATGAAGAGCCATATAACTGACAGCACATAAGTCAAAAGGAGAAACAGTGGCCAATTGCTACTACCTAGAAAGAAAACTAAAAACTAGGAAGGCATGTTTTCTTAGTTTAGTTTCCAGAAGTTCATGGTTTTACATTTCCCTGAGCCAAAGGTGGGAGAGGTGCTAGAAACAGACATTAAAGTTAACAAATTCTACTGTGGTCTTGCTTTCTTTTGTTTTGATTTCTTCTCTTTCTCCTCCAACTATCCTTGGTATGATTTGTGTAGGAGAGGGGAATCTGGTCTGCTAAAGATATAAGGTGCAAGTGTATTTTGTTCTTAACTTTCATAATCTAGTATCTTGTTAAAAAAAGACTGTAATGGATGTGTAGTGCACCTGCTTGATGCATCCATTTATGAATATCTGGTGTAGTCTAGCAGGAGTGTGACTGGCTGTTGTTACTGACACCACTGCAGAACAGAGTAAGCCTCTGTCCTCTGAGCAGTGTCTTTGTTCAGTTGGCTTTTGTCCAATGTTCTTTGAGACTCGGGTCAGCTGCTGCAACACCTCCTGTTGTTGAAGGCATGGAAGATGAAGGAAAGGAAATGGTGTGAGCTCTTGTCCCACATGGGTGGGGTTATAATTTCTGCTATGATCTTTTCCTGCAGTTTTGTGCATTTCTTGGCTCCTGCCTGGTTCCTTTTGCCTACCTCACAGTGTTGGAACTATCAAAGTCACTGCCAGCAGCCTTACTCACGGCTTTCATCCTTATTTTTGGTAGGTGTTCCTGTTACAGCAAAATTGAGTATCTTAATTGTTCAGATAATTTAGTTTCTGCATTAGCATGTGTTACCTAACCAGGGGATATTTGGGTTAATGACAGACTTTCTCAGAAGCAAAGTAATTTCACTTTTTTAAATGTATATGTGTATGAGGCTTCTTACTTGGTGGTCCCCTTAAGAACTTCACAGTCTTGTTTAGTTCATAGGTGTACTTCTGTTATTTGCACAACCACAGAACTGGGTTAGATTGCACCTTAATTTTAAAAATTTTTGTAAGGTGGGTGGTCAGAAATGATTTTACCCACCAGTGAAATATTGATGTTTCCTGTATGAATTATAGAGATCTTTAACAGCCCCTGCATTACTTTAGAAGAGTTCACAATAAGAAATTAATGAAGTTCCTTGTTGAATTGAGCCAAGGGGAGAAATTGACCTTGCAAATGAAGTTACCAAAATAGGAGTTTTGTAAGGACACACAGGTATTGAGAAATGGTGACTTAGAATATCAAAGCCATATTCATTTTTTATAGGTACCGTCTGAAAGATGACTTCTCTGGCATCCTCTGGCACTGTGGTGATGCCTTAGGTAGATAATTGCTGGCTGTAATCCTCTCCATCTGAATATGTTATCAGCACTTTCCAAATGGTGTTTCACAGATACTGCTGTACTGCCTTTTGTTCTTGTATTTGTTTTTATTTTTGTTTTTTTGGGTTTTTTTCTTTTGTTATTCAGGTAGAAGATGAAATGTTATGATCTCCTTCTGTTTCTAAAATTTCCTGCCTTCTTCTTGTCTTGACTACACTGAGGAAGCTGGATTCCCACAATCTGAGATTCACTTTGGAACTGCAAGTCTTTCTGACATTGCTGTGTGTCTCTTTGCAGATACAGGCTGTATTACATTGTCCCAGTATATTCTGCTGGATCCCATTCTAATGTTCTTTCTCATGGGAGCTGTTCTGAGTATGGTGAAATGTAACAGCTGTGCAGACAGGTAAGATAAGGATGATAATTTTGTTAAACTATAGGTATTTAACTTTCACACAGTTAAAGTAATAGCTGCCATTGGTTATGTGTGAGTGGCTGAAATGAGATTATTTCAGGAAATTTGAAGCTGAAAATGACTGTTGGTAGCAGAGAGAAATTTTTACTCTGAGGGTCTGTGTAGTTACGGAGAAAATATTGTGCCTGTAGTACACAAATTTACCTGTGACTATAAGCACCTTTAAAAGTCCTGCTGTCTGAGGTAAATAGTGTAATTTGTTTGGTTTAGAGCAATGGCTACAAAAACTTAGAGGAAAATATAGCCAGGATGATTCTGAATAAAGTAGTCAAGTTGCTAAGGATATTTGCTATAGACCCATCCAGAAAGGGTGGTGGTTTATAGGTATTGGGATGTGTCAGAGGGCTTCTTTGTGGCTGGGCTGCACAGAGTAGTTTCCTTGAAATGCATCCCAAATTCAAAGACATAAAAAGTTGAAATTCTGTGTTATATATGAGCAGTTTTTATTTCATGAAACATTCAAGAACTGATCGTATCGATCTTAGTTTGTCTGCAGTTTGTGTGGCTGAAATGCAGGCTGCAGCATCATGTACAGCTGTCCAAGGCCATCCTTATCTACTGCATATTCCCCAGGAAATGCAAGCACTAAATTACAAGGCAGTGCTTGATCAGCTCTGTGTGCCTTGATGTGAATTTGTTTTTCATATCTTAGAATTAATCCTGTTGTCAAAGTAGTTGATATTCTACAAATTAAAAGCCAACTCTAGCTCTCGTGTTGCTTAGCAGGTCATGGGGATTTTGTCTAGTTGAAATAAAAGTGTCAAGGCATTAGGAATCAGAAGGAAAAAGGTTTTAAATTCTGCTGTCATTTTTTCTCATCTCTTTTCTATGGTTCAGTTTTATGTCAGTTTATAATTTGTTTGCTTTTTGCTGCAGTTTTTGTTTGTGTTTTGGATAGATGTTTTCTGCTTTAGTACAGTAGGCTGCTCTTTGCCTCTTGTTCTTCCCCATGTCCCTAAATTTCTGAGAGAAGTAAGTTTGCACTTTATGGAGCAAAGTTCTTGTTTCTGTTTCCAGAACATCCATGTAGTCAGACTTTCTTCACACTAGTATTTTAGCTTGTACCTGCTATCTGTGTTTCCATCCTTGAATGGGAGATCTAGGGTTGCCTCTGGCTTAAGTGTACCTGAAGCCAGTATCAAGGCTTCACAAGCCTGTATCTGAAACCAATATCCTTGTGTGATTCTAAACTAAATGAAAAACTTGTTTTTCCACTTCTTATGGGTTCCTGAGAAGATGGACTGTAATTTTGTGGGGTAACTGATCTATTACGTATTTTTGTGATCATAGGCTGGTGTTCATGTAGCCATCATTTTATTTACTGACTTTCTCTACTGGTCCTGCAGGCCATTTTCTGCCTCCTGGTGGTTCTGGCTGAGTCTGACTGGTGTGAGCCTTGCTGGAGCAATGGGGGTAAAATTTGTTGGCCTTTTTGTAGTCCTCTTGGTTGGCTTGAACACAATCTATGACCTATGGGACTTGCTGGGGAACCTCAGCCTGTCACTGGTGAGTTTCAAAGGCTTTTCTTTACTTTAAAGGTTTATTTGTTTTGTTTGCTTGTAATTTTCCTGGTCTTTGACAAGCCTGCAAGTACCCAAACAGAGATACTCTGTCTGCAGCAGAGAGGGGCATCTGATGTGGTGATGAAAAAAAGAAATTAAGGTTATAATGAAAAAATTATTGCCACACTTTTGTAAAAAGCCACACTTATGTTAGCAGGATATTATAGTATACAAACACAGCAGAAAGATTGTTACTTTTTCCTGAGAGAAACTGTTACCATTCCAGTTGGCTACATTTTCAGTCTAAGCTAAAAATGCTCATTGGGAATGGCTTTACAGTGGCCCAAAGCAAGATGTTGCCCAGCACTGTTACCTGTACTTCCAAGGGGTATGTGCTCCCTGGCAGACAGGTGTGTCTTGCAGCACTTGGTTTGCATAAGCAGCATGAGCTCAGGCTCTGCTGCCTGAGAGTAATGGGGCAGAGGCTGCAGAGCTGGAGCATCACGAGTCACAGAAATGCTCTGCAACCTGCAGTATCCATAGCCAGTTGAGAGGATGAAGACAGCCATAGCCTGCTTGATTTCACACACATTTAGTTCTTCTAAGCTTTAAAAAAATTGCTAGTGGGTTTGACTGTCCTGGTCTAATATATTGCATTTTATGTTTGCCAAGTGTGAAATCTGCCATTTGGAGAAACGCCTTGATGTACCATTTGCTGTCTTGCAACCTGCAGGAAGACAAATTCTTCACTCATATCTTTTAAAAGGTGTTCAGTTCTTCTCTTGTCTCAGCCTCTTTTGAAGCTTGAAAATTCTATTTTTTTCACTTACTATTTTTGTCTTGTTTGTCCTATAAACAGTGGGAGCATGGGAGGGACTTTTTCTATTCCTCCTGTGTGATTTGTTTTCTTTGATTAATGTGAATAATATGGGCTGCAAAGATTCAATGTTCCAACTCCAGAGAAACACTTCTTGAGCAAAGTCAGTTAATTGCATTTGAAATAGAACAAATCTATCATGTCTAAGCTTTGTGCCAGCAGACAGCTGCACAGTGATTTCATTTGTGCTACTGGCAGCAAAGGCAGCAAACCCCCGGGTGTTAGAATATGTAAAGAAATTTACTCCAGAAGGTAGATGCATTCTGAATAGCTATTTGGCAACCTTGGTGCTTGAGGAGAGGGGAAAAAAAAGATGAGGATTAATCTCCTGAAAGCCTGAATAACTTACCTCTGCATTTGTTAGGGAGCTTCTCATGATTATTTACATGCAATTTTTTGGGGACTAAGTTGATTGCTAGAATTCTCAGCTTGTGTTGATCCATTGTTCTGGTTTGCTCACTGCTGTCTTTCACATGCACTTTCTTTTCTTTGACTTTGCATTGAAGTCTTTGAATTTAAAGAAAACCATTTCATGAAAATTGGAGCATATTGAGGCTTTTCTAAGTAGGGAACTGGAGGGTAGTTCATGTGCCTCTCCACTGCCTATATTTGGTTATGTACCATCAATCAGCATTAGTTTCTAAGTGTCCAGTGGTTATTAAGTTCTGCTGAAGTACTTGAACTGAACAGCTCTTTCCTTTGTTGACTTCACTGAGTTTTGCAATGTGTTCAGCTTTTTCCATTCCTTCTGAATTAAGTGGTTCTGGTACTAAAGGATGGAGAATGATTAGCTTAATGATTATATGATAGGTATGTTAAAGAATATGTAGAATAGCAAGTGCATCTGCTTTCATCCACTTTGAAGTTAGTCTGGCCATTTAGCAAACAGTTTTTGCTATTTAATTTTTTTCTTCTTCCACAGCTATTTATTATCCACCCTCTATTTTACATTATTTACTCTACTACCAGCAGTGTCAGTAGGATGTGAAAATGTAATAGCTTCTTTGGCATCTGTTTGCAAAACATATTTTCAATTGGTTGAAATAAAATATTTTGCTTTCATTTTGGGACATCTGAAGAACAGGTTTTGCTGTTGACTTTTGTGTAGTTTCTGGCTGAGCAGCACTAGAAGTTGCAGTGTGAGAGCAAGATGATTTCTGTAAGTGAAGCATATCTAGATCCCCACGATGTCCTGGTTACATTCACATTTGCATAGACTTATTGGGGGAACAAATTTTCATTTTCCCTCTTGCTTAGCTTTGGTAGTTACTATTTTGGGAGCCATCTCTTTGCTGGGATTTTGGGTCAAGATGTGTACCACTGATAAACAAGTTAAGGTCCTTGCTCTCCAAGTATTTTCAATGAGGGCTGCCCAACCTCCTTGCCAAAGTTAGAGATGCTCAGCACTTCGGAGCACTAAACTCTCCTATTGCCTATTTTTGTCTTTTTTCCCATGACCCTAAAATTTTGAGGTACCATAGCTCCAGCTTTTGGAGATACACAGCAAGGTCTGCCTCAGCTTTTACCTCTCTCTGGGCCTTTCTGAGGTAATTCTACAACCTGGTAAGCTCCAGCCACAGGACTGCTGCTCAGTCTTGTGAAATCAGGAGTGAAGTTGTTCCTGCACTGTTTGATGCAGACTGTATTTGTTACAGGTGATGTTTGGGAAGCATTTACTGGCTCGTGTACTCTGCCTCATCTTCCTCCCGCTTGCCCTCTACACGGCTATGTTTGCTGTTCATTTTGCAGTGTTAAATAGAAGGTATTTCACAATGTTTTTTCCAGAAGAATTACTTGTTTTTGCTTTGAATTAAAGGCTATTGGTTATATAGTAGTCTACTTCCAGTGTCAGAAGCACAGCCACAAGCTGTGTCTTTGTTTAATCCCCTTCCCCAACTCTCTGGCCAAGATGACAGTGAAATTGAATTTGAGCTTGAGACTTTCTGAAATGCCAAGCAAGTAACCTAACGAAACTTCCTGTCTTATTTTTTTCCTCTTCTCTTTCTGGGACCTGAAAATGTCTCAACTCCATTCTTTGTCTTTTTGTAATTAAAAAGTCATTGCATTCCTGAAAAATGGCTGTGATTAAAAGAGTCTGAGTGTGCTTGAAGGAAGGGCTTTTTCCTGAATGCTTGCAACCAAGGGATGCTTTTTACAAGGAAAGAGCTAGTAAAATGGCCAAGTAATGTTTTCCATATGCCAGCATTAAAACATGAGGTGAATAAGCATTTCACTGTAGAAAAAGAATAGAAAAATAAATCGGTTATTTTTCAGTTAAAGTCTACTGGTCTTACCACTAACCTCTTAGCAGAAATAACACTACAGGAGTCACAGAGAAAGGCTTTGTTATATCTGTGGGTTATATCCTGACAGTGGGTCAATTTATTTGCTGTAAGACCACCCCCAAAGACAGTTCTGATGCTTTGTGCAGTGCCAGCATGTACATTTCTGTGACCTCAAGTCCTTGCAGCTCTGGACAATTTCCTGAAAGACTGTCTCCATCTGCTGTGATTCACAACATTAGAGAAGTGTGCCTGTTAAGGGAGCTGCTCCCACTCTTCTTCTTCAGATGCCCAGTCTGGTTATATAATTTTTCTTCTATAAAAACAACTTGGTAATGCATGACAGAGGTTTGTATGCTGCTTAGTGAGACCTCTAATTGTCATATTCTTTGCTATCTTTTGTAGTGGTCCTGGGGATGGTTTCTTCAGTTCAGCATTTCAATCTCAGCTGATTGGGAACAATCTTCATAACGTCTCCGTTCCAGAGCGTGAGTGTCCACGTGAATAAAGCACTCTGAATGTTGTCAGTGTACATGAGAACTTAAAAAGAAATGGTGTCCCTGTGACTCAGTGCAGAGCAGTGGGAATTATGCCTTCCATGGTCAAGCTCAGATCCACACTCTTCTTCTGTACAGTTTTATGAATTGACAGAAAGAAAAAGGCTGAAAATATCACCATGTTCAGTGCATGGTCACTATCTGTTTTTTTCCTGTTCACCTTAGATTTGTGAGTGTTCAATGTGGGATTTGTTTACAAAATATGTGTAAATGGAAACTGTCAACTTTTGTGACACAGCATGCCACTGGTCCAGCTTTGTTGTATTCAGAATGCATCTGAATTTAGCAAAAAAGAAGGCTCTGTGGTTGTTTCCTAATCCTCAGGTTGGCTAGGGACTACTGAGCCTTTAAAATGGTTTAGCTTTCTGATTACTTCAGCTTTTTTGCGGCTGTACCCAGCTCCAGAGCTGTCACTGGGGGAACATCAGGTCTGATCTCTCAAGGCTGAGTTGTACTGGGGGGCTAGGAGGGAAGGTGTCTTAAGCCAGTGTATATCTGCTATCCAGTAGCTGAGCTTGCCTCCCTTCCCTCTTGTCTTGCTGTAGGGGTCAGCAGTGTTATACTCTTAGGGAAAGCTATCTCAAAACTCTCATTATGAAATTACAAACAAAGGAATGCCTTACCAGGTCTGTTTATGTTAAAACTTAGTGGGAGAGTCTGAAGTGTTTCAGCCAAATGTTACATAACAGTTTCACTGAATCCTGGTTAGGGATGGGAGATAAGTGTGCAATGAGCCCTGTGGAATAACCTGTCAAACAGGAAACAAAATTCCATCAAAACAATGGGGAGTGCATACTTAATGGCGCACTGTAGACTAGCTGGGGGAGATACAGGAGAGCTGTGTTATGTCTTTTTTCCTCCCCCTTTCTCATGCAGATTTGGCATATGGGTCAGTGGTGACGATGAAGAACCTTCGGATGGCAGGGGGATACCTGCACTCCCACTGGCACCTCTATCCCGAGGGTGTTGGGGCTCGCCAGCAGCAGGTTGGTGCTGTGGGGTATTGCCTGTGTCTACAACCCTGGGTTACTCCCTTTGTATTTGGCATTAGGGGCCAAACTGGTAGGAGCTGTGTGTTGACTCAGCATCTGTTGCCCTCTCAGTGCCACAGCTGTGCACTTGGCTTGAAGAGAGCCCACCACACTGCACCAGAAGAGTGGCTTACAGTAACAAGGCCACCATCCATAAATGGAGTCCAAGAACACTTCAGAATAGTTTTCCATAATGAAAGTTACCTCAAGGAAGGCTGTAGAACTTTGTTTAAAACAAGAACATTATCTTACAGCTTTCTGGCTGTATATTAAAAGCAAGGGAATAGAACTGCTTTATATTGTTTTTACTCCAGCCGCTGGCCTCTGTGAACTTACATGAATCCCTCTCCGTTGTGCCTTGCTTTCTTCATCTGTCACCAAAGAATTTGCTCAATAAATTAGATACTGTGCATTTGTAAGCTAATGTAGCCATATGGAAACCATCTGAGCTAAGGGCTTCTCATTAAATGATTAAGCAATAAGTGAAAGTAGAAATCAGAAATCATGTAACTATCTCTAATTAAGAAGTACGAACATTAAGTGGATTTCTTATTTTTGTCCATCATCATCAAGCTTCACAAATCTTTGCTGCTTCTGCACTTTTACCAAGATGTATTTCTGCAGTTTGATTATTGGTGTCTAAAAATTGCTCTGAGATTCTTGAAAGAAAGTTGCCAGAGAAACACAAGTGTTTGGTTTTTAACTCTCTGCTGCCTCTGTGGCTAGGATGAAGTTTTCAGAAGTAAAAACTTTGTCTCAATCTTTTTTCCTGCTGCTTGTCACAATCAGAATTTCTAATACTCTAGCATGACATTAATGTTTATTACAGTGTATGGAGATGCCATGCTAAACTGCCTCAAGCATAGGCAAAATTGGAGTGCAGATCATGCTTTATGACACTAAAAGCAGGGAAGGGCAATTGGGAGAGGACACTAATGGGAGTTCCTTGTGGAAAGTGGGAAAGGGTGGAGAGTTCCCTGTCCTGATGGTAGGACAGCAGTAGGGTTCTAGGGTAGTTTCAGGGCTCTGGAGAGGGGAAGAGAATCTAGAGAGGAATTTGGAGGAGATTTGGAGAGGAAAAAGTGATCTCTCTGCTTCTACTTTCTCCTCTTCTCCTAATGGCTTGACCCCAAGGTATGAGGTTCTACCTCCAGCTCTCCCTTTTTCCCCACGGTCAGACACTCCTGTGTTCTGCCTCTCACCCACCCCCTGGGCCATCTGCTCCCACCTGAGAGAGAGGCCCAGGTGGGGCACTGGGCTGGGGTTCTACAGAGCAGGGCTTGCTGCTCTCTAAGAGGAGGGTGGGCAAAGGGAGTACAGTTGCACGTGCTCTGGGCAGCAGCAGCCTGGAATAAGATGCTCTCTGTGTCCATGGTAGCAGTAGGTGCAGCTGCTCTGTGTGAGGCTGAGCAGGCTGGCAGGGGTTAGCTGTGTGGCTGTAATGGGTGATCCCTGAATCCTTACCTTGCTTGGATGTTTTGGCAGATGTTGTGGTTGTCACAGTCAGCCTGTTGTCAGCAATCTCTACTGTCTGTAAAGTCAGTGCTGCTTCTGTCTCTTGGTTCAGATAGTGGTCAGTGATTATTCAGGAGCTCTGGTTTGGATATCCTGTTGTTGTAGAAGGAGCCTCTGAAACAGGGTGAGGGGAGGTCAGGCTGTGTTTGGAGGCTCTTGGTGCATGTGAACTGCCATGAAGGGTAGTGCTTCTGAGTGTGGGCTATGCACTGGCTAAGAGGTGTCATCTGGGTTAAGGAGTGCCCCATAACTGGTTTTCTAGGGGGCACTGTCATAAAGGTAATCTCAGGGCTTCTGTGTGGTTGATGCATTCATGTGGGGCTTTGATTTGCCGGTGAATTTGTGACTGCTATCAACAGCTTTTTTCTTGTTATGTAAAATAATTAATCCTGTCATTTCAGGTCACTGCTTACTTACATAAAGATTTGAATAACCTGTGGATCATAAAGAAACATGACTCAGATACAGGTAACAAAAACCAGTTAAGTGCCTTTTATAACTGCTGCTTCTATTTTTTACATAAATATTCTGAGTTCTTTCCAGGGCAGAGTATCCTTCAAGGATATGAGGAGGAGATGAGGAAGAACGAGGGGAAGCTGTCTCTTGATTTACATTGTGTGTGTGTCTACTGTGCTTTTGGTTCTTCTTCAGATTGTACAGCTGAAGTAAATAAGCTTTTCTTAGCTGAAGGTTGCATTGACAATTTTTCAGCTGTGTAGGGCTGCAAATAACAGCAGAGAGGAAATTTGTCTGAACTGAGTTAATATTTATTGCGATCTGTTATTGTGGCTAAGAGTCTTGGGAAAGCTGGGTCCTGTAACAGTCTGGTACATTGTGTTTGACAGATTTTTGTGGGTGATTGCTTGGGACAAGATAAGAGTACTGAATGTGATTATCTATGGTTTGTGCAGAAAGCTGTTGGTTTAGATCAGGTAGTGTATGTAGCTGAGGCATGCTTGGTCCGGCAGTTTCCTTTTCTTTACCTGATGCATGTGTTTTTAAAAATTAACAAGAATTGTCTGAATAGCAAAAAATGTAAATAACGTAGATATATAAGAAAAATTATAATCAGTGTTGCAAGAGTCATTTATAGTTCACATTCTTTGGAGTAGCTCTCAGGATTAGAATTTAGAGCAATGTTTTACATCAGGCTTAGGGTCAACACAACTTTGTTTGCTTTATTATCTGCTTGAGGCACGAGCATCAGCAAGAAACTTTCTAAGACTCTGGTAAGTTTGTCAGTGCATTGATATGATTAGTTTGTCTTTCTTCAGCAGATCTGTCTGACCCCTCAAGCCCTGTGGAGTTTGTGAGGCATGGAGATATTATTCGTCTGGAACATAAAGAGTAAGGATGGTTTCTGGGATTCAAAGAGATTATGTGATTGAACAGAACTGGTGGGAGACTTGTCCTGCTAGAGACTGTGGTTAGGCAAGCACAAGCAGGCTGTGTCACAGAGGTATCTGTATATCTGAGTTTCCAGTGTGAGGTCTGTAGAGTTTTTCTTCTTAAAAATATCATTATGTTTTGAAAAGTGTATATTAAGTTAGAAACTTTAGAGAGAACCACACAACTTTATTAGAACTACCTGCCTAAGAGCAGGGAGATTTCTTCAGTTGTGTGAGGTGCAATAATGAGGGTAACTCTTCCAGAGAAGCAATTTCAAAACCCTCATTCTGTTGCCTGTCTCCATGCTGGATTTTCTAGACAAAAGAATATAGAGGTTTTTTGTCAGTGTACTGCAAGTATCCTGTCCCTATGTTCATAGGAGGTACCCACCTGCTGAAGTTCTCAACAGCACTGAGATCATAGCAGTTAAACACTTTGAATGGAAGTGGAAGCTGATCCCTTCCCTTTCTGCAGGGAATAGCTAAGAGGAAGCAGGGTAACCGTAGTGACTTGATATTTAGTCTTTATCTAGTGTAATGTTAGCTTTGATCTCTTAACACAACCTCTAACTCCTGTGCCAGAAAATCACGTTTTATTGTATTCAGTATGGTGTATGCACAAACCATTGCTTAGGTTCCAAAACGATTGTAAGACTTATTTTTTTAAATTTTGAATTTAGGAGTTTACTATCAAATATGTGATAATGAGGATGATAACATCTTGATTAGGCAAAATGGGTTTAAGTGCTGCTGAGGTCCCTGGTGGTGCTGAGGAAGGATCCGGCAGGCGGCACGTGGGGCCGGCCTGTGGCACATCCCATGGGACAGCAGAGTCCCTGCAGCTGGGCAGCAGCAGCAGCACAATGGGTGCTGTCCACAGCACAGTCCCAGCAAGGACTGACAGGCTGTGGCCAGGTTTCTCTGCTTGCCTCAGCTGGCAGACCCTGCCAGCGTGGGAGGCTCACAGGTCTGCACTGTGCTGGTGCTAAGTGGTGGCTACTGATTTCCCCCTAAATGGTACAATCTTTCCCTGCAAAAGCAAAACTGATAATCACAAAAGGTCAGGATCTTGCTTTTCTTCTTTCCAATCTCTTTTCCTTTTAGTGATGGTAATTGTATTTTGAGGGTTGGATTTATTTATGCTGTCATCCTTTTTTGTCACTGCCCAGTGTGGTATAAGCTCAGAGTCATGTGCTGGAAAGTGACAGTTCCACTCCATCCCGTTAAGGCTGCATCCTGCTGTGCCCTCAGCTGGAATTCATTGGTTAGAGTACTGGCAGATCTCTGAATGGCTCAAACCAATGTTTTTATCACAAATTGTCAAGGATTCAAAGGTTTGACTTTTAATTTCATTTCAGAACTTCTAGAAATCTGCACAGTCACCAGCATGAGGCTCCCCTGACAAGGAAGCATTTTCAGGTCACTGGCTATGGAATAGTAAGTGAAGGGAAGACAAAGCAAAAGCTTCTTTTGGGAAGAGTTCATATCATGCCAAGGAAATTTATTGTTGCTTTTTTTAGTTTGTTAGCCAGGATGATAGATGGACATCTGCCATCCTTAAGGAAAAAACTGATGTAGTATGAAATGCCTTCTCTCATATTTAAGGTCTATTTAATGTGAACACAGATAAAAAAATAATTTAAACTTTTACTGTCAGTCTAGCTTTGGCAGCATTCAACTCCAGAAATGACAAACTGAGCAACCTTGAAGTTGCTCTGACAAGTATTATTTTATGTATTTGGCCTTGTCACATAGACAAGTGTTTTTTTGACAGAATGATGACAGAATTTTGAATCACAAAGATGGAATATGCTTTGAGGGCTAAATTTCTAAATGCAGAGATCTGTTTCCTAAACCCCTTTTGTGTAGCAGCCAAGTTGCCCCTGTTTATGCTGTAACTCTGAGCTACAGTCAAGAATGAATTGAAAGCAAACAAAATTAAAGTTGGCAATATAGAGATGTGTTTGTGAGTAGTTGCTTATGTCTAGAATGGTGTCTTCCTGATGGGGAATCTCTTCTGTGAAGTGTGAGTGAGGCTGGTCTGGGTGAGTTTTTTGGCTTTGCACCCAGTGGAGTTTCAGAATTTCCTATTTGCAGTGCTTCAGTTCTGTGTGTCTTCTAGTTTGGGCATTGTTTTGTTTCTGCTTTCTATTTTTGTAATTATTTTTCTCGAATGGCATGTTTGCTGACAGAATGGAACAGGAGACTCCAATGACTTCTGGAGGATTGAGGTGGTGGGCAGAAGGACTGGACAGCTCATCAAAGTCCTACGCAGCCAGATCCGGCTAACCCACGTGGCCACAGGCTGTGTATTGGGATCTTCTGGAAAGACTCTGCCAAAATGGTAAATATCCACCCTCTGCAGGCCTTTGAGCTGCCATGTTCCTTTATTCAATGGTACTTTTAGACTAAGCAATAGGTACATTTCTTACATTTCTTTAAGAGAATAAAAATGTAAGTAGCAGGTATAGGAATATGGCCAGAGGGGAAAATCTGGGTTAGGATTATGCAGTCTGTTACAGTGAAGGTGTGCAGCTCTGAAAAATAATATCCCTTACTAAGAGATCCAAAAGTGGCATGGACATAGATCTTGTCCTCTGGTAAGGCCAGGAGGGGATGATAGATGTGTTATTTAACATGTTATTTATCCTTGGGGTTTGCAAAAAGCACTGGAAACTGGGGCAGTTAATGCTGTTCTGTACCACAATCTTGAAAATTGCTTTCTGTTGGTATTAATCTTGTGATTAGAAGACCTTTGCTATTTTTGCATGCAGCATCTAAAGCAAGGCAGTGGTTACAAACTGCTATTAGCAGGTGTTGGGATTTTATATGTCCTTGAATTATGCATCTTCATCATTCAGATGAGGTGTATGCAGAGACATCCAGGCTGATGTAAGCAAGCTGCCCTGTCTGTAAAGCTGCACCATGTGGGATGCTGACATGGATCCTGAGGCAGAGGTGTGCACTCATGTTGCTGCTGTTTTGAGAGCTGCCCCCCTAGGTTTCCCTAGGAAACTCTAGGTTTCCCTTCTCTGTGTTGTGGTAAAACTAGATTCTAAAGAATCCTATGGATGCTGAATCACAGAGCAGGCAACTGTCTGGCCAGGAGTGCAAATACCAGTTAGACATCACCATAAAGCTGGGCTCATGGACACATAATGAGTTCAGTTAACAAAAAAGGCAACCTCCATCAAGAGCATTCAGAAAACATTGTGGATTGGGTTTCTTCTTTTTTTTTCCCCACTAACAGTTTGCTATGTGAATGGAAGTTATTGCCACAAAATGTTGATGATAGTAACAGCTGAGGGCAAAAAAATACTTGTTAACTGCAAATAAAGATGGTTAGACTATGTTTTTATATTTTTATAAAAATGAATTTACTAAATTAATGAAATTTTAAAATTTAATTAATTAAGTAATGGATTACTTAATTAATGAAATTTGCTAAGTAGTGATTGACAGAAAATTCCCTATTCATCTGTCATATTTCTGTCAGATTTGATGCACTTTCTCCCAAAGTCTTTGATATGACCTGCTAGACATAGGGTGACAGACTAAAGAACAGTTATTAGTATCCTCTAAGGTAGTTGTTTTGTTTCTATAATACAGTTCTTGTAGATATGGATTGACTTAAATTCATGATGGTGATTTTCTTTGGAGGGACTGTAAGGGTTGAATTGGACATAGATTCTTTCTAGTTGGCAAGGTGCATAATTTTCAAAAATCCCACATATCCACCTAGGGCTTTTTGGGTGAGAAAGTGAGAAATGTGGTTCAACTATTCCGTAGAATTTTGGTGTCAGCTGCCTTGCAGATCTGTTTTGGTTTCTACATGGTTCCCTTAGTATGTAAGAATGCAACTGCTGAAGCATTATGGAAAAATATAAAGCTAAATGGGCAAAAACTAAACACAAAATGGAAATATTGAGTGTTCCTGTGGGGTGGTGGTGAACTGTTCTGCTGATCCTCAGGGGCTGGGAACAAGTAGAAGTGACCTGCACACCATACCTGAAGGAGACACCCAATTCCCTCTGGAACTTTGAAGATCATATTAACCCTAAATGTAAGTAATTGATTTCCTTTTTGATAGAGAGTGCATCTTGGCTTACTGTTTAAAGGAAGGGATGAGCTATCAGATAGCAGTAACTGGCATTCTGCATTTGAAATGTATGTGTTCTTTCCCAGCTAAAGTGCAAACTTGCTGAACTTGAGTGTGTGCAGGGATGCAGAGCCCTTTTCTATTTCACTGTTTGTACTGGAAGCTGGTGATAATGCTTGAAGTGTAGTGGAAATATAAAGACTTTCTTAAAGATTTTGAGATTTTAATGTGTTACAGAAGTGTGAAGCACTCCAATACAGGCTATTATTTCTAACATTGTTTAATTGGGAATTGTTGTCATTGATATAAGTGTGTCATATATATTTCAATGATTTTTTAAAAAAGCTTAGATCCAGTCTGTTCTGGTGTATTTTTTCCTTCTCCTGCTGGGGGTGTGCTAAATGATGGCTTCGTAGTACCATCAAGAAATGAATAGTGTGTGACAGAGATCTGAGTTTGCCAGTAATGGCAGGTGGGCCTTGCAGCCTTATCCAGGAGTTATGCTTGTTTCACAGGCTCATCTGGCTTGCGCTGTTCAACACAATCTTCATCCCATGAATTTCTGGTGACTTGGGCTGAGTTCTGAGTTATTAGAACACTTACTGTTCTTCCTCCTGTGAGAGCAACTGTGTGCAAACCAAAGGAGAGAAATCCTGGGCTGTTGACTTGGTAGAATTTCTTCTGTTGTAATGCATTTTATATTCCCATACTTATGGCTCATTTACAGATAAACAGCAACCTATGAAGCCTGTGTCTCTTAATGGCAGCCAGAAATACAAATCTATTTATTTCATGGACTTCTATATATTTCTGGTGCTCCTGAAAGTAAAGGAGGAAATTTAGAAGTACAACAATTGTAAAGTTCACTGGGGGGTACTTCTGACTGCAAGCCACTGTGTTTAGAGTATGAATGAATTGCATAGAGAATTAAAAGAGGTTCTGGAAGCAGATTTGTTGTAGGAGGAGAGAGTTTAGTTTATTATGAAAAAGGCAAATAAAAGGAAACCATACAAACTTATAATCTATTTTTCTCTTTTTTTTTTTTTTTTTTTTTTTTTAGTGCCCAATATCAGCCTGGATGTTTTGAAGCCTTCATTTGCAGAAATTCTGCTAGAATCCCACATGGTTATGATCCGGGTATGATATCACTGATTCAAGATTATCATTTTCTTCCTCCTCTCTCTTGCATTCAAAAACAAATAGCACTTTCAGAGAGATCTGGGTGATGGCTGCAAGCTAGGGCAGAATTTGCATGCCCAAGCAACCTACTTGAATTTAAACTTAGAATAAAGGATGATCTTGGAGCTAAATCTTCCAAGTCCAAGTTTGGAAGCCCTTTGCTTAGTGCCTGGCTCTCCTGTTGGTGTGATCTAGCTACAGCCTAGTTATGTAATGTTTTCCCTACCTTCCTGTAAGGCTTTAAAGGAAATTTAGTGTTTGTGAGGCAGGAGGATATTACTGTGGTCAAAATAAGGAATATCAGCTAAACAGACACTTAAAAAACTAGTAAGTGTTTGGATTGAAAATGGAAAACTTCTGATTTTTTTCAAGTTCATCAAGAAGATGTGATTTCTGGTTTCCTTTTATCTCTGAATATATCCTTTTTTTTAAAGAGCAGATTTAATATTTGCAAGGTGGACAGTTGTTGTAGTCTTTTCCTATGCTTGCTCTTTGTACTCTTGGCCACAGCCCTTCTACCTCCAGCTCCTCAATGAGAATGAAGAAGGAGAAGTTAATATTTTGAGAAAGGAGTCTAAGGTTTTCTTTGCTATTGTTTGTGAAGCTCTTCTCAGATTTTAAAGAGAAAAAACTAGTCAAGCACATTATTGTTAGTACTTGTAAAGTGTTTTTGTAAAGTGTTTCCATGGCAATCAGTGATAATGCTGTCTCAGGTAAGGAAGCACCTGCATGAGTTTCCATGGAAATAATCTTTGAGGCTTTTTTTATGTAGTAAAGAGAAACCTGTCAGAGCAGTCTCTTAATGAAAAAAGGTCTTGCTTATGCAACATGTATCCTTAGTGACAGAAAAGCTGGAGAAATGAGAGAATACTGCCTCTTTTGCTACCCAAACCCATTTTCACTTGCATAATAGTAGTAGAACATTCAGAGTCCTAATTGTGACCGTTGTGGATGATGATGTGTTTATGTAGGTCAAAAAAGAACTTTCACTCAGATAGAGTATTGACGTATGTTTTTGTACACAGACATTTCTGGGCAGACATTGCAGCATACCTGCCTGCTCATTTAAATTTTATGTTCATTTATCTGTAGGGAAACAGTGGCCTCAAACCAAAGGACAATGAAGTCACATCCAAACCTTGGCACTGGCCCATCAATTACCAGGTATATTCATCAATCCATATTCCTTTCTATTTTCAAGTGCTTTTGCAGTGCCTTTTGAAGCACACCACCTTGTAATTGCATTGAAGATATTGTCAGCTTTCTTTTGGAGCCCCTGAGATGGGAATTTGTCTCACCTTAGATGCTGTGCAGAATACAAACTGGACTGATGAATATTTGGTTTTCTCCCTTCTGATCTCTCCTCAGGGACTGCGTTTTTCTGGTGTCAATGAGACGGATTACCGGGTTTATTTGCTTGGAAACCCGGTAAGTTGGAGTGAGAGGTTCCAAGCCAATGTCTTTAACAAACTTTAGCTTAGTCTTGCTTCTGCCAGTTCTCTTCCTTCTCCTTTTGGACAGTCTCTCTAATTGTACTCTTTATGTTTGCATGTCACGTGCACACACCCAGCATAAAGTCCCAAATCTTTCTTTTTCTCTTGCGTAGGTGATTTGGTGGCTGAATCTGGTCACTATTGGGTTATATCTTCTGATAACAGTTGCCACTGCAGTGGCACTGAAGAGAGGTGTCCAACTGACATCTGAACTCAAAGGTGAGGTCAGTCTTCCTTTTCATAGATGCCTTTTGCAGCAACCTTAAAAATGTGTGGATGGCAGGACTTGGTGTGTCAAGGGTGGGAAACCACTGAGCTTGGATTATCAAGCAGTGTCCACAGGGAAAAGCTGGGAAATTCATAGCTGTAGTTTAATAGTGAACACCACAGATCTTATACAACAATAGTGCATGGCTATCTACATTGGCTGCAAGGGATACAGGCCAATTAATCAATGCCCTGCTGTCAAGCTCTGCATGTGCTTGGTGGTTTGCAGTGTCTTAAGACAATAAATGTTTTCTGATATTTATGCAAAGCAAATGACAAATACAAGAGATAATAATGATCCTTTATTATGTCCATTGCCAAGGTTTTGAAGCTTTTCACAAGCCCTAATTAGTCATACTTTCATCATTCCTGTTTACATCAATGGTTGCTTCATTTTGTAGATCTCCTTATGGGAAGTCAGTTCTAAAATGTGATGGGAAACCACTCAATTATACAATAAGTTATTGTAAGCTGTATACAGACACCAGAGCTCTTAGTCCCTTCCCCAGGCTCTGAAAGCTAGGCACCACTTCTTTCCAGGAAGGGCTGACAGAGTGATCATCTGGATGGCTCTCATTGCTGAGACAATGAAAATCTTCAGAAACCAGAATCACCTGATTGGTCTGATGCACAGATGGAGAAACTGCATGTTTGGTCTTTAAATTTAGAGCATGGTCAACCTCCTGCCATGCCTTGAGCCTTAGGACTTTGTATATCTTTTCTGGCAGCTGTTCTCCTGAAGAGTGCTTGTATGTTTATGAAGAATGTAGCTAGGATGTTGCAGAGGCTTGAAGCAATTCCAGACCAATTCATGGCTTCCTGCAAAGATCATTCTTGTTGAGTTTACTTAGTGGGTTAAAGTTTGCAAATGGGAACCGTAGCTGAGTTTTTCTCTGCTGAGGTGTGTTTATTTTGTTCCAGAGCTGTCCAGAGTGGTGCTACGTGCTGGAGGGCAGATCACACTGGGCTGGCTCCTTCATTACCTCCCTTTTTTTATGATGGGACGAGTTCTCTACTTCCACCACTACTTTCCTGCCATGCTTTTTTCCAGCATGCTGACAGGTAAATACTAGAGTCTTGGAGAAGACAAGGTAGGGAAAAAGGTGATACTCTGTTAAACTGAATGTTTTTCAGCCTAAAGGTTTATTATTTTTATGGGCTTTGTTTGCTTGTGTGAAGTGCTTGAAAGCATTGACTTACTCAAAACTTTTTTCACAAAGCAGCTTGCAGTGCAAATTTTTTGTTTGTCTGTTTGGTTTTGGTTTTTTGGTGGTGGTTGGTTCGTTTTCTGTTTAAAAAAATTTTTGTTAATTTTGTTAAAAAGTCAACCTGAAGAGGCAGTCATGTCTAGCGCTTAGGGCATTTAAATTTAGAGATGGGATTCCTGGTCTCTGCTATTTCACTGTTCTTATATATTCTTGTATATAAGTTACTTCCCTCTTTGTTTGCTGCCAACACCATTCTGTCATGTCTGTTTATAATTTGGCTTTGGTCATTTTCCTGTGAATTTATACCAACTTCATTAGCATCTGGCACCCAGATCTCTTTTGCATTTATTAAAATGGAAAGGTAGGACAAAAAGAACCTTTCTGATACAAAACAATCTCTGTGGTTCAGAAGGTTACCAAGGTAAATGAATTTAAAAATTGACATGGTCTTTTGGTGTTAACAGAGTTTCGTCAGCCTAGTCTGTGAACACAGCAGCTCTGTTCTTCTGAGTTCTACCTCTTCCTTCTCCTAGGAATCACCTGGGATGCACTACTGAAGTTCTGTGCTGGGTTCTTGTCACCCAGCACTACAGCAAGAAAGGTATATGGAGGTGGATTCCTGGCACTGGTTCTGCTCATCCTGTACAGGTGAGTACAGCTGAACTTTTCATGAATGGAGTGTGTGACAATTGCCATCTCAATAGAAACTTTGCTGCCTGTTAATTATCCTTAGCATTTGTTCCCTTTTTTCTTCTCTGCTGATTTGTCAGACATCCTCAAGCCTAATCCTAAATCTTCAAATTTGTTTAGATTCAGCATCTGTGTGCCTGTAATGCATTATAGAGCATCTTTCCATTGCAGGGAATCTGTCTTTTGTTGCAGCACACAGTGTGAATACTCTGTTCTCCTCCAAACCTCCCAATCAGTGGTTTGTGGTTGTATTCCCAATGATGGTGACATATTCCTCAAATACAGGCAAATTGTTCATTATTGTAGGTTTTTTCAGATTCTAAGAGAAAATACCACATGTGATAAAACTATGCTAGGTATATATTGGGTTCAGCAGAGATGAGAACGTTCCCAGTAAAACTTAGAGCAGTCCAAAGACAGAGGTCCCATAGGCTGGGAACTTCTTGAGACAGAAAACTGTGCTGTGTTTGATTTCTTTCTTTCTGCATTTGGTATCTTTCCACAGCTTCTACCTCTTCCATCCCCTGTCCTATGGGATGATAGGACCCATGGCCTCCCACCCGAGCAGCCCCATGGCAGGGCTCCAGTGGATGGACTCCTGGGAATTCTAGAGCAAAGGAAGCCTGGGAACATGGATCACAAACATGGGATCTGCTGCATGCCAGGCTGATTCTGGTGCTTTGAGGACATGACTGTAAAAGGCCTCTCTGGAGGACTCTGGGTATTGTAACCCTGTTGCTTTGGCATTTGTTTGCACTGCCTGCATTGGAAGATGCAGAGGATGACAAGGTCCCCTTAAATTAAAAGACTCATGTCCTGAATCCTTAGGTTGTACTAATGGACAGCTGGCTGCCTGAATGCCAGTTCCTTGAAGCAGTATGTGTCAGTCCAACAGCAGTGGCATTCCAGCAGCCAGACCAGTACAAGTTGGAGGCTGTCTGCAGTTGCATGTGCACTCTGTGCATGTGTGTGTCTTCCTTCTTGTGATCTAGGCACCACTACAGTTTGAAGCACTATAGGACTTCTAGCAAGATTAACAACCTTTCTATGATGATGTTTTTGAAAGCTTATTATAAGTACCTGGGGACCTTCATTCTACCTGCCTTGGCTGTCTGAAGGTTTTTTTGTTCTGACCCTGGATTTTTAAAATTTGACTGAAATTTGTCTGTTTGAAATCTCCTGAGCCATTGTGCCTTGCCTATCTCCCAGGCCCATTGCAGAGATGGAAATTGTTTATTCCTATGTACTGCCTTTCTCTCTGGTCACCTTTAATCAGTTCTACAACTCACCTAGCAGGCCTGTTTTCAGGGCCAGACTGTTCCAGCTCAGCTCTTTGTAGCTTCTTTCAGTTCTGTCTGAAGGTGCCAAGGAAATTACAGTAGAAATGACAGGTGGTTTATTTTCAGTCCCAGTATGCTGTGGAGACCAGCATGAGGATGTACTGGAGACTGTAATGATAGCTTGGAAACCTTACAGACAGCTGTCATTCAGTTTTTGTTCCCAGCTATTTCAGTGCCAGTGCCTGTGCTTTCAGGGGAAGGCTGCATCTCAATGCATGTGGCATCTGCAAAACAGGCTACTGGTGCCAAAGTATCTGCTCAGTGTTCCCAAATTGAACAAGTTCCTTCTCTAGACTACTGAACATCAAATTACAAGGAAATGTGAGGCCAGGCAAAAATTCTTTGTCTGTGAAGTGTCAAGAGCCATTGAATGTCAAATCCACCCCTTCCAAGAAAGTGGAATTTGATTTTTCAGGTGCCTTTGTGCTGTGTTAGATCTATTTCTGTCTGTGTTTCTTTTATTCCATTTCCTACTTTTTATCCAATGTCAATTTCTTGTCACAGTTCAAGTTGCTACCTTGTAGTATCCAACGGAAATGGCACTTAGATCACAGCTGTATTCCTGTCTCAGGAAATAATTGAAAAACTCTTTTATGTATGTTTCAATGAACTCATGCCTTTCATTTCAGAGTTCTTGCTTTGCTTCACATCCTTGCATCAAAATTACAGGTAGAGGGAGAGTAAGAGGTGGGTGTGTCTGCCTTTAAAAATGGACTGTGCATTTATTTCTCTTACCAAATCTGGGATTCCAATGCATTTCCTACCACATGGATGGCCTGCATTAGCACAGTTGTTCTATGTGGGGGACTAGACTCCAGTCAGACTTGCTTTGGGATCTCTCTAGTAGAGATCCACAGCATTGTTCAGCAAGGCAGCTGCTTTGTAAGGCTCTGGCTTGGTGTGTCACATTACTCCTAGAGATACTAGCTCAGGTGGGATGGACCTGTGCTTTTGATTCTCAAGGTTTTGAGTTGATCACGTGCTACTTATACATGGTGGGAAGCCATTGCAATAATTAGCTCCTGGGTTTGATGATTTTTTCCACTTGTTATTGCAGGAAGTGCTACCTGCATGAGCCAGGAATTCACAGAGGTGATATATAGGCAAGAAGGATGTGGGAGAAGGCTGCAAACTTCTTCAGAACCTGCCAGATGTGACAGCAGCAGCAAATTGTTAACTGTTGGCAATGTGGAAGGCAGACAGCGCAGTGCTGCCTTGTAACAATGTGATCCACCAATCTCTTGGTGAGATTATTGACATAATATATTGCTGTCCTCAATATGAGCTTTCCCTAAGGGAATCCCATTGTCATGGGGAGGATTTGCCAGAAGAGCTGGCAAAAGCTATGATTTAAAGTGCATTTTCTTCCAGCACATACAATTACACACTTCCCCTTAGCATTAGCAACAAAAAAAAAAAAAATCTAAGAAGCTTGTGTTTTGGAATTACTGTTTGTAACACCTTTATTCATCATATTAAACCTTGGGAGTGCAAAAATTGAGTCAATAACCTTGGTTTCTTCAGTTATTATTAAGGGGTCAGTTTTGTAGGAGTTGCCTGAGGAAGATGAACTAGTCTGTTTCTTGGCTAGAATTCTTCCATCCTTTATTAGTAATAATCTTTTGGATGTGGATTGGCAGCTGAGTGCTGAAGGTGGCAAATTTAGTGCTCTCATCCCACTTTCCTATGCACAAATCCAGCTTCTCTTTCAACACAGACAAAAGGTTTATTTTTCTTCAGGATTGTCACATCAGAAAGTTTCTTGAGAGCATTTGATTGACATTGAGACTGTTTCTTAGGTCTTGTGTGCTGGTAAGTGGTTGGAGGCATACAGTGAAGAAAAATCTAGCTATTCCACAAGAGGGAGCAAGTTCAGCAGAATTTTTATTTTTGATCTGGAGTTTAAAGGATGGAAAAGTCTACACTGAAGACTAGAGGGCAGACATTTCCTCTGCACTCTCTGGACTCCAAGGGTTGGGTTTTCAAGTAAGTGTACATTGATGTAGCTCTGTCTTCTTTCAGGAGAAAAATTACTCCCGTTGGAATTTGACCTTCAGTATTTGCTTCTTAAAACAAAATCTGTCATTGGGCCATTACTGAAACATAATAGTAACTGATATTTTATGAGGTCAGTAAAATACAATAATTTGGACTCCCTTCCTGACTCTGTCTTGAAATATCTAAGTGGTACAGACATGAGGCAATGGGTGCAAGGCACTCTTTGTTTTTGGATGGAATTTGGTCTGCTTTGGCTCAGTTTTACCCGTTGTGCTTGTGGAATGAGTTCAGGTTCTTTTTGAGAGCTGCTCATTAGTCCTCTTCTCCAGTCACATGGAAATAGCTAACGGTGCTTTCTGGGGCCAGAGGTGCTGTGCTCTGGAGCAGCTGCTCTCTTTGAGCCCTGCTTGACAGGTCTCCTTTTATCACTGACAAAGTATTTCATCAAACTGTATCCATGGATTCAAATCACAAAAAGCTGCAGGCTGCCACGTTCCCTGCTTCAAATTCTTTTTTGTGTGTAAACTATTTTCAGCTCTTCAGTCTCTGAAGAATAGATAGAGGGCCTCTGGGCTCATCTAGCTTTATCCTAGGCAATCCATCCATCTTAAAAGGTTTCTGCTAACAGTTGCTTCAGGACATCGATAGGCACACATCTATTCCAGCAACAGGGCCTGGCCTATTTCCAGGAACTGGACCACTCATGATCTGACTGTGAGGAGGATTTGAAAATGGAGATTTCTGTGCCAAGGTTGCCCTTGGTCCAGGTGGAGGACTCTGTCATCCCTGTTTACCACCATTGTTTGCAGCCCTGGGAGCCACCACCACTCTTTACTCTGCACAGGGTTTTCTTTTTGCATCTTGATTGGAAAGGCTGATTGATGCACAAAGGGCACTGGCAGAATATACTTTTTTTATATCTTCCTTCTTCCTTCTGGTTCTTGAGGAATGCCCAAAGTACAGGACATGTCTTTGCTTCCCCTAATTTGTGGGCTTTGCATCCATTTCATACAGGTGCCTGGACAAGGGGTAGGACAGGACATCTTCCTCTCAGACCTGTCATGTGTTCTGAGAGGAAAACCAGAACCTTGTTATGGAAAGGTAAACAAATGTGTTATGTGATAGTTCCCTCCTGTCCCTCCTGAATCCTTCAGAGATTGTTTTTAAGGAGCTTGAGAGCAAACCAGTTGCTATTGTGGAAACACAAGGCATTTACCTGAAATTCTGCATTGCCACTCTTAGCAGCTTCCCTTCCATGCTGTGACTGAGTAACCCTCTGGGCTGGCACCGTGTGCACAAGCACTGACTCCTCTCTCAGGATCCTGCTGGCAATGTGAAAACCTCCTTAGCAGTGCCCTGTGTCTCTGCCAGCTGGGGAATGGAGGTAAGATATTTATTTTTCTCCTTTTCAGCAAGTGACCCCATGACCCCACACATGGGCAAATGTGTCGTGAAAGCAAAAATGTGGGGACTGTTAGAACAACATAAGGCTCTTCCCTGCTGGGAAAGGAAGGCTGTGGGTAAGAACACCACCTCCATAGCATACTTGCTTTGGCTGCAAGCAGTCGGGACTGAAAATTCCCTATCTTCTTTAAAGTACTAAGACCTTAGTTGTGTGGTTGGTTGCAAGTAGCTTCACTTTTTGTAAACTTTTTTTATGCTCTTTACTTGAATGTCAAGGGCTATGGTTAACATAAATAATATCTGTGGCTATCACATGCTAGCATAGATAGCACTCCTGCTGAATTTGTAATTGATTCTAAAACTTTGCCAGGTGAGCTTACTGTGTTTTACAATAGACAAGGTTTACAGCCATCCTTGAAGAGCTTGCCTCTGGCTAAGCAAGAGTTCGGAGCAGCAGTGAGAGGGGTTCTTTGGTAATTCTGTTCTATATCCTGAACCTTTCTTACTAATGCCGGGGGATGTGTGTGCATCTGTCTGAACTGAACTCTTTTAACTACAATGGTGCAATTGCAATTACTGTACCATATGGTGTGGATGGGAGGATGTTCCCTTGAGCTATAAATGTGTTTTGTACAGGTGATAATGGAAAATGAGGTAGAATTTGGAATTTAATTTTGTAATAAATATCTCTTCTTTGAAGCAATCTCTTTGTGTCCAGATTTTGGGGTGGGTTTTTTCCCCTTTCATTTATTCCTCACATACATGCTTGAAGTAACAACATGAACTTTAAATGGGCCCATTGGAGAATTTAATCTAGGATAGTGATGATGTACAACAGCTTTTAGCACACAAGTATTGCTGGACTGCAATTCTCGGAGATCAGATTTTACTGCAATATATTGGTAAGCACAACAGGAAGGGAAACAGATACATTTGAACAAGAATAAAGTACTGTCTGTCGAAGCAGGTTTATTTCTCCATATTAAAGATGTGGTAAATTGTCAATATGTATAATATGTCGAGTTTAAGGGGTATTTTCCTCAAGCTTCTGATAGGTTACCTATGAAGACTTCATTTGACACGTCAAACACTTTATTCAGAAACCCAGCATTTTTCTGTAAGTCATGTTCAGTCTAGTGTTCATAACACCAGACAGGTGCACAGTTTTGTACAAATGAGGCCCTTACTGTGAATTAAATGTGAGAATCCATAATAAAACTGGAACACTGAAAATCAGAATCTGGCTTTATATGAGGCTGTAGGGAGGGGCTGGGATACACTTTTGAGTGGAGTGTAATTAGGGGTTGCTTGGGGTGGAACTAGATGGGAAAAACCAAAATAAAGCCACCTTACCTGGGACCACACATTGATGCCCAGATGAGTGCTGGAGGAGAGCCAGCCAGTCTGTCTGGATGTGTTCCAAGGGCTGCTGAAGTGCAGCCAGGACAGCTAAAACTGGACTGTGGCCTGTAATGTGATGAAACAGGCTATTAAATGGTCACTGAAAAGCCTATTCACTTCTTGTATTGCTCCACACTGCAAGTTGGTCTTTGGGTGTTGTCTCATCAGGGCTTTGTTCTGGAAGGGAGGAGTGCTGATACAGAGGCTGTGCTAGAATGTAGGGAGATGACCAAAAGAGAAGGAAGTATTGTTTGTAAAATGCTGATAATATCTGAAGTAAAACTTTACTTCTCACTGCCCTCTAAAGGAAGAATGGCTTCTTTCTGCAGGTAAATGATCTCACACAGGTGAACAATGGTGACTGATTCCAATTTGCACTTGATTTGAACCTACCAGACTTGTAGGCTTTTAGATTCCAGCCATCACCCCATTATCTCTTCCTCAACAAGAATGAGGCTTTTTTATGACCTGCTGTTTTAATATAGATTTTGTGCTCTGTCTTCAAGCTGTTTCTTAATCTTCTATTTTCTAACCAAATAGAAACTTCCCATACAAGTTGCTTCCTTTGGCCCTCAATCTCTCATGACCTCCTTTTCATTTTCTTTGGTTAACTATGAGGTTTCCCAATCCATACCATGTCTTCCAACATCAGTCTCTTGAGGTCCATATGCTGAAATCATATGGATTTCATCTTTGCTACACCTACCACTGCTGCCTGGTTTACATCTGAGGGTTGTGGTTGTACACTTTGGAGTTGTTTTCTAATACACCACCACTGACTGTGCTCTGGGCCATGTAGTGCATGCTCTGGAAGTAGAAAGTTTGTGCTTTATAGAATGGGTGTAAGTCTGACAAGCATTATAATTGTTGTAAATTGCTTTTCCATTTTTATCCTTCTTGCAGTCATTGCTTTATATTGCATCCAAAGCCTGTCATCTTGTTGTCATGCAGCTGACAAAAGGTAGTCTTAAGGCTTCATTCACCTGACCTATTTTTTTCGCCATGTATTTTAGGATGAGCTGGTTCTTAATTACCTGGGTTTCTCCATTGACCAGAATGGGAGTTTAGATTATGTGTCCTTATGAAAGCATCTGTGTTGGATCAGCTGAGTCACACCCTGGCAGTGTGCTGGTGCCTTGCAGTGCTTTAGGGACAATAACTGTTCCATTACAAGGTGGAGAATGAAAGCAGCTGAGAAGGGGGGAGCATCAGTTGAGAATGTGAACATGCATTAAGGTGGTACATTCTTGACATGCATCAGAAACAGTGTGGCCAAGCAGGACCAAAACAATGATTGTCCCCTTCTCAGCACTCACACCTCAAATCCTGTGTTCACTTTTGGGATCCCTCACTGCAAGAAAGACATTGAGGTACTGGAGCGTGTCCAGAGAAGGGCAACAGAGCTGGTAAAGGATCTGGAGCACAGCTCTGATGAGAAGCAGCTGACAGAGCTGGGGATGTGTAGCCTGGAGAAGGACCTATGGAGGAGGACCTTCTCTCTCCCTACAAGTACCTGAAAGGAGGCTGCAGCAAGGTGGGGATCAGTTTCCTCTCAAGTCACAAGTGACAGGATGAGAGGAAATGGCTCAAGTTGTATCAGGACAGGTTTAGATTGAATATGAGGAAAAAATTCTTCATTCAGAAGGTGGCCAGGCATTGGAACAGCCTTCCCAGGGAAGTGGTGGAATTACAATACCTTAAAGTGTACAAAAACCACATAGATGTGACACCTGGGGACATGGTTTAGTGGTGAACCTAGCAGTGCAGTTTGCAGGTGAAAAATTCCTCACTGAACAGGAGAATTATTTTTGACAAAGCCCCAAAGCTTTAATGGCTTAGATGAGGAGAAGGTCTCAAGCCAGAAGTGTCCCACATCTAGAAGGAATAATACAGGGGGTTTGCTTTGAGGCCAGATGGCTGAGTGCAAAGCTGAAATGTGGGAATGCTGGCACAGCCCTGACATGAAGTAATGGATGCAGTGAAATACACAATCTTTGTTTTAATAGATCATATCCAAGATGCTATTCCTGGAGACAACTGCTGTAGGTCAAACATTTATCAGAGATGGCCTAATCAATAGTGTCAATTAAAACTGCAAGGAGGGAGAGAACAAAGAGAGTTGAGATCAGAGAGAAGACGATCGATGACCGCTTGAGAGACCAGCAGTGCTTCTGAAACAAGAAGCCCAGGGCGGAAACTACAGAGGAGACTCCACAATGAATAAAGCACTCTTTTACAAGCTTTTGCCATAATGTTTCAGCAGCTGAAGGATGAGCCAGTCCAGATGCATAAGGACAATTGGAGGAAAATCCAAGACCATGTGCATCATCCCAGGTAGGACAGAAGCCAGGTAACTGTGCTAACACAATGCTTGCCAAGTTGCCAGGCACATTAGCTAGAGCACCATGTTGAGCTAATGAGGCTAGAGAGCTTTTTGCTTGCATCCCACCAGCTTGGGGTGCACACAGCTGCATAGCCATGTCTTATGACCAAATTCAGCTTGTGTGTGAAGACTGACATGGTCTTGAACTCTTTGAACTCACTTTGGCAGAGTGCCTTACAAAAGGCAGAGGTTGCTTCTTGGAAGAAGCATGTTGGTGTTGGGTTATCACTGTGCTAGGGAGCCCAAGGTAAATAACATCTGGGCTAAGGTCTGAGCATCTACAAGTGCCAGACTTGGTCCAACAGCTCTGTGTGTTGCCCTTTGACTTTTGTCTCCACTTTGTGTCTGGTCATCCTATGACTGTTTTCACCTGTCTGTACAAATATTCCCTAGCTGGCCACAGGATATTCAGGATAAAGCTGAGGATGTCTAGCAAATTTTATTCAAAAGAAGTTTTCATTTTATTCTACTGTTAAATCCCCCTCTGCCTGTCCCCCTCCTCTTAGCCCAGATCCCCACCGCTGAGGGTGGTAGTGCTGCTCTGTTCTCTCCACAGGCATGGTGACAGCAAGCAAGCTCTGCAGCTCATCTAAATAATGTTATGGACAAGACTATCACCTCCTGCATCACTTTTGATTCTTGTTATGCAATCATATTTTGTGACTGGCTTTGCTACTGAGCTGTGCTGCACCATGGCCTGAGGGGTTGCTTGAGAAGAATTCTGGGAACCTTGCATGATTTTTGCTCCCACCTGAGGATGGGATGGGAGGTGATGGGAGTCTGTGAAAAAGAGAACTTGTCATAATCTGGCTTTGAGACTGGGGAAAAGGGGAAACAAAGGGAATTAGCCAAGCCCAGGAGTCTGTATCCTAAGTGAGCGGGGAGCCTGAGGCAGATAGATCAGAGTGTCATTATTTATGAACACTCACAGATGCAGAATTGGAAATGAGCAAGAGTTCAAAAGGAGATATGGGTTTGTTAGTGCAGCAGCTGGGATGAGAACTGATGGTGCCACAGCAGCACAGGCAGAGCAGTCATCCCTGGGCCAGGCACACAGGACCTCCCTGGGCAGGAAGGGTTGTTCTTCAGGGGCTGTGAACCCTGAGTGCTGGGCTGGGGACTGTGCTCACTATGTGAGCTTACTTCTAGTTCTCTCACTCTGTTTTATGAGATTGGGCAACTTTCTTTCCATGTGGGTAAACCGAGGCACTGAGCAAGTAAAGCTGACACTTGGCAAGGAGGTTAAGAGTGTTGGTACTGTAACTCGAAGTGGATGTAGATTACAATAATGAAACCCAGTGCAAACTAAAAATATGATAAATTTGTGTTCTCCCAGAGCACGAAAGAGCATTATCATTCTCTTTGCATCTCAGTGAATTTCTCCAAAAACCTCCCTCCCCTTTCTTCAAGTGGCCTACAGATGGAGCAGTCTGTGCTGCTGACCTGGTTGTTCTTCACTCCTGAGAGGTCCAGGGACAGTCTTGCAGGAATCCAAGAGGAGCTCAGAAAAGAGCTGAACTGCAGGTTAGGTACATGGAGCCAAGGGAGCTGGGAACCATCACAGGAAACCCTCAGACTTCAGAGCATTGCAGTGCTCAACCTCTTGCTGAGATTCTCATGCTTGAAGGCTCACAAAACATTTGGAATAAGAAGAGAGGTTTTCTTGTTTGCTTCCTTGAATTTGAAATCCTCTCTAGACCTGTGCTCTCAGCACCTTGGTGCTGTGACAGCAGGAGGAGCTCTGACAGCCACATAACTGCAAGGGAGAAGCTGCTTTGCACACAGGCAAGAGCACTGTCTGTCCCAAACCCTTGGTCCTTTCAATCCTTTGAGTGGTGCTTTGAACATTTCTTATCCCTGAGCTCTCCCCGTCTCCCTTCTCAAGTCCCTCCTTGCAGCTCCTTCTTCCTGTGCTGGAGGACCTATACTGTCACAGGGGAATAAATACTGGGTTTTTTAGGAGAGTGGGGAGGAATCAGTGCCAGAAGGCAGCAAAGGGGTGGATTCACTGTTCAGATGGTCAGGGGAGATGAGGAAACTGCTCCTGAATGTATCCTGCCCAGAAGGAGCTGTTGCTGGTGGGCAGGGAAGAGTTCTTGGACTCTACTGTGCGTCATACCTGTGTGGGGTTTGGGTACCAGTCTGGGTACCAACAGCTGGGTGGGGATATGGCCAGACCATTGCCCCTTTCATCAGCTGAGGCACTCCTGTTTCCCACGGAAGGAAGGCATATCAGTCTCAGCCCTCTCATTGCTGCCCCTATATCTGATCTGTTCTGACACTTGTGCCTTGCCTATGAGTGTTCTGCTGCTACCTGCAGAACAGAGGGAAGGTGCAGGGACATCATTTTGGACAAGAGCCACCATTTTCTTTTGCCATCCCAGCTTCACTGCTATTGTCTGAGACACCTTTTCTATCAGAAACAATGGCTGAACCTGTACTTTGTTCTTGCCCTGGGATAGGGTAGCTGATATGGTGCCTTATATGGATGGGAGCAAAAGTGTCTCACATCCCAAAAAATCTTCAGGAACTGATCACTCTTAACTACAACTTGCTTTTGTGGAGTTTCTCCTCCTTCACTATCAGCCAGCTCCAATGTATTCAAAATGTTCTTAGGCAAGTAATCAGCCTTGCTTGCTGCTGTGACTGCACATATGTGCTTCAGCTCTGCTCCTCAGCACCCTGTGGCCTGGGATGACTCTCCATGCTCCTTTCCAGCCCGCTGGCCCCACGCCACTGCCTGTCTGTTCTACCTTCACTGTTAGTAGGGCCGGGCTGAACCGTCCAGCCAGGCTCTGTGGAGCTCCGTGCCTGTGACAAGCGGCTGGGATGTCAGAGTACCTTGCCCAGAGGACCAAGGATGACACTTGGTGCTCGTTGCCGGTTCGCTCCCGCAGCCGCAGGACAGCTGAAGGTGAATGTTCGCGGTGTCGCTGCCGGGCTGCTCTCCGCCCTGCTCGGGTTAACCCTGCAGCTCCCAGCTGCCCTCTCGGGCTCCTTGCCGCTTCAGCGGCTATCACGGCAGTGATTTATTATCAGCCCCCGGTGGGAAGATGCCCTTTGAAACCACACAGCCAAGAGGCTGTTTTAGCGGACTCCTCAGTCCCATCAGTTCTGACTCAAGTGCCCAATTTTAGGACAGGATTCTTTAGCTTCCTTTAACACATGTGGAGCTTTTCTTGCACAGCATCTTGTCTGGTCTGTGCTGAGAATGTGAGGTCTCAAAATCCTGAGAAAAAGGTAATTTATCCTGGCACTTGCAGAACCATCTCAGGTGGCTTCCTGCTGTCACTGCAGTCGGTGCTGTCACTCCAGCTCTGTAGGAGAAAGGCCCCTGGGAGACAAGCTGGGGCTGAAAACATAACATTGAGCCTTTGAACTTGTCTCCTCCCAGGGAATGTTCTCAATTCTCCCACAAGAAGAGCCTCCTTTCTGCCTACACTTAGTCAATGTGCCTCTGGAATGGGTCGGAAGTTTCTGTCTTTTCTCCTGATTACCAGAAATAAGTCTGATGTACAGAAGCAGAACTTGTAATAAGATCAGCACAATTGTCATTTTGGTGCAGACTGTGATGGTTTCAGTAATAGTTGCACTTCTGTATTGCTGTCTCCTTCTGAAACCTTAACTTTCCTGACTTCCCTTGTGCTGCTTGGGACCTCATTTGCCATTTCTTGCTTTGTTTCCTCTCTTCTGCGTAAATCCTGCGGCCAAATTAAGCAGTGTCTGAACAGCAAAGAGAGTCTGTGCATCCTGAACACATTTGACAAAGATGTCACGTCTTCTCATCCGTTATTAACAACTTGCCTGCTTCAGCTGGCATAATTAGCCTTAAATTAGACACGTACCTTGCAGTGTCTAGACTGCATCTGCCTGTGGAGACAGCAAGTGGCTGTGTGGCATCCAGGGTCTCAGTGGAAGTGGCCAAAAGCAAAAGGATGCTGTGGAGCATCGCTGGGGCCCTCCCAGGCAAGGTTTCACTCAGAGGGAGCTGTGCTGGTGGTGAGTGAACGTGGCCAGGTCCCGGTGGTCTCCTCGCTGGTACGGCTCTGCCCTGCTGCTTCACTTATAAAAGCAGGACGACGGAAAATGTCAGCCGTGAACCAGCTGAACTTTCTGCTCTGCCCCGCGGGCCCGGGATAGGGAAGTTCGGGCATTTCGAATTTCTCTTTTATTCCATCCATCCGTCCTTCCTTCCTTGTCCCGAGTGAGAAGCACTCGGTGAGAGGTGAGCTCTCCCTTCCCGGCGGGGCGGCGCGGCTGGAGCGGGCTCGGCGGTGCCGGCGGGCGGAGCGCGGCTGCGGCCGTGGCGGGGGCGCGGGGGCAGCGCTGCCGCTCCCGGCGGAGCGAGCGAGGGCGGCCGCGGCTCTCCGGCCCCTCCGCCCGCGGAGCCAGCGCCTCGCCTCGGGGCAGGGGCAGCGCCCCCGGCCCGCCATGGAGAGCGGGATGCCGCTGTCGGGCGGGCAGCGAGCGCTGATCCGGGAGAGCTGGCGGCGGCTGAGCGGCAGCCCCGAGCAGCACGGCCTCGTCCTCTTCAGCAGGTGAGCGGCGCGATGCGCCCCCCGCGCCCGGCCCCGGCCGCGCCGACCCGTGCGGGAGGGATGGACGGGCTCCGCTCCTCGGGAGAAACGCTTCCCTGCGCTCGGCACGGCTCCGGCCCGCTCCCGGCCCCTGTCCCCTGTCCCCTCTCCCCTCCCGCGGGGAGCCGCAGGTGCCGTGGGGAGCGGGTGGGGCAGGAACCGGGGGCCCCGCTCCGCGCTGCTGCCCTGCCGTGCCCGTCCCTCGCCACGGAGAACTTTGGCAGCCGAGACGGAGAGCGAGAGAGGCGGCGGGCGGGTTCTGTGCGCTCCTGCCGCTGATCCCCCGCCCTGACACCGCCGCTCCTGCTCTCCGAGGCGCTGCGAACCAGGGAAGGGCCGTGCGGCCCCAGGAACGGACCCGGCCGCCAGGGAGGGATTCAGTCTCAGGGCAGAGGAAATGGTGTGCCGGATGGAATGGCTGATACCCAGCTTCTTGCCTCTCCCCAGCAGATTGATGTACTAATTATGTGAAGAGAAAAAAGGAAAAATCAATGAAAAGTCGTTTAAAAAGGACAACTGGAAAGTTGATGAGCAGCTTTCGGAGCGAGAGGGATCCAAATCTCCCAGAGCAGGACTAGAGCAGTGACAAGAATGTGGGGGAGAGGGGTGCAGTAGTTTTATGTGCAGGATAAGGAGAAGACAGATGTGCCTGAATTACTGGTGGCCAGTTGTATCTACCTGGGTGGCTGCTAATGAGTCCCTTTTGTGCCTGATGCACCCTGGCAAGGGAGATGGGGCAGGGGGAGAGGAAATGGGAGCTGGTGATGGTGCTGGGCAGTGGGGCATCAGCTGAGTTTGTACATTCCCCCCTTGGTCCAGATGGCTGCTGGAGCTTCCCCGATTTGGCAGCTTTTGGGTTCAAGAGCATCAGAAAGTGGGAATGGGAATAGTTGAGATAACAGCCAACTCTTTGAGGATCAGAGCCAGGCTGGAAGACACTGCAGAGGGTTGGGTGCCAGTTCTCAAGTGCCATAAATACGTGTCTGAGAGCTGGGGTTATGGGCTAGAGAAACAGAAAGGTTTTTGTCTATAGGCAGTCTGGATTGCCCCAACTAAAACTTTTCAGAACTTTTGGTCCTTTTACAGATGGAGATGGATCAGTAGGTGGGAAGAGAGGCAGAAGTAGGCTGTGGGTGTGCTGCTGATGGGGTGAGTGGCACTTCAAATAAAGCCGAGGAAGTAAGAAGATGGGGTGTTCTTTCTTTCTCTTGCAGGCTGTTTGACTTGGATCCTGACCTGCTGCCCCTTTTCCAGTACAACTACAAGCAGTTTGCCAGCCCTCAGGAGTGCCTCTCTGCCCCTGAGTTCCTGGATCACATCAGGAAGGTGAGAGAGGGGCTGTGGCATGGCTGGAGCACAGCCTCCACGGAGGATGAAACCCTTAGGCAATGATTTGGGACTGTGGTGTGTCTGACCACATGGAAGTCTCCTCCTGAGATGGTAACTGCAGGGGTTACTCATGCTAGCAGAAGGCCAGGACAAAGTGCCCTACAACAGTGGGGAGGGAATGAGAATGCAGGTCATGGTGGCTAAGAGGCACCATGCCCTCATCTGAGAGTGGATTGCTTCCTGTGAAAGCTGAAAGAATCCTTCTGCTACTGTGGAGGTGCCTCGGGGAGCTCACCTGTGTCCAGATGAGGAGTGAAGCTCCCTGCTCACCCCACGCTGAGCAGGAGCTGGCACAGACCTGGGCAGTGGGCCAGGCCACCCTGGGCCTGCTGCTGTGGAGGGGCTGCTGGTGCAGCTGCAGGGCCAGCAGGCCCACAGCCCCTCTCAGAGAGCCTCTGGGGGGGTGCTGCAGGGCACATTCCCCTCCTCCCAAACACAGAAAGGAGCAGTGCTGGGGAGAGGCTCTTGCATGCACAGCACACCTGCTGCAGCACAGACCCTTTGCTGAGCCCTGAGGAGAAGCCACACTGGGACAAAGCACAGCCTTGGCTTGCAGATGCCTTCATAAACTGCCTGGCTCCATCTTTAAACCACTTTGGTGCTTTGCTTGCCTGTCTTTATTCCTTGTTAAGAGGCTGTTTCAGGACTGAGCTTCTCTGATAGCTGCAATCTTTTTGTTATTTTCCAGCCTCTCTTTATTGGCAACGTTAAGATTATTGCCTTGAGCTGAAATAGTTTCTTGCTCTTGTTGGAGATGAATGGCCTGTTGAAATTACAGTGCACAATTCTATCACCTCTTGGCTTTGCCAAGATAACCATGCCCTGGCTTTAATCTCTTCTTCTAATTTGTTGTGTCTGTTCCCTTCATCTTTCATTAAATCTTTTCTGTCCTGTTTCCATTTGACTCTTAATGCTCCTGGGAGACTATGGTATGTGTTTTACCACACCAGGTCAAGCGACCTGGCTGTACTCCCCATCCCATCTCTTCAAAGTAGCTTGACCGATCTTAGAACTGAAGTGGCCTTATTCACAACTGCACCATTTTGGCAACTTCTAATTGGAAACTCTGGTCCTGGCAGCTTCTGGGGTTCCCATGCAATTGTCCTGGGGTCATGGTAGTTCTAATGACTGCACCAGCATTAGGTCTTAACCTGCAACTGCTCTGCTGTGTGGCTGTTTATCCCCTCTGGGACAGGGTGGTCAGCAGTGCTGCTTGCTGTGCAGCCCTGGTGGTGTCCCATGTAAGGATGTGGTGTGTGCTGCTGCCAGCCTCACTGATGGGACGCATGGATCACAGCAGAGCAAAGAAAAGCTGAGAGGGCATCTGGCCTGGGAGGGGGTCAGGCTGACAAGGGTGAAGTAGAGGATCAGACACTTTGTTTCCTCTGGGAGGGAAGCTGAACCTTTCTGTTACGCCATTCTGCCTTTCTGCTCCTGTGCTAGGTGATGCTGGTGATTGATGCTGCTGTGAGCCACCTGGAGAACTTGTCCTGCCTGGAAGAGTATCTCTGCAACCTTGGCAAGAAGCACCAGGCAGTTGGTGTGAAGGTTGAGTCTTTCTCGGTGAGGTGTTCTCCCTTGTCTCGCTGTGGCTGTGTTTGCTCACCCCTGCCTGCAGCCCTCAGCTGCCCCATCCTTCCTCTGGCTTCAGCTGTCTGGAGAGAGCTGATGGCTCAGGGCAGCCTGTCCAAGGTGCTGATACCAATGTATACCATTGCCCCAGTGAAGGAAACCTTTGAGCTCCCCTTGTTTTCTGCCCTTGCCCAGTAAGCCCAGGCAGAAAGGATAGATGGGAGCAAAGCATTTCCACTGCTTGAAGAGCACCATGGTTTAGGACACTGCAGTCTCTCCTGTGCCACAGGGCTGCAGGCTCAGCCTTTGCCCTGGATCCTTTGCATCTGATGCTCTGGGCAAACCTCACCCCACCTGGAAAAGGGAGCATGAACCTCACCTCTCTGTGTCTGCACTGGGATGGGGTTGCTGCACCTCAGCCCCTGCTTCCTCCATGCCAGTAACACCCAAGCATCTTCCATATTAAACCCCTGATCACTCCTCTCCTGCTGTCAAGCATGGACAGAAATGCAGTGGGAAAGGGTGGGGTGAAGAAAAGCTTTCTAACCCACACCTGGCTCATTCCAATTGCTAGCTTGTGTTCTCTTCAGAGGCAGTAGGGTCGCTTTTGTTTGGGGCAGTGATGCCCGCCAGCCCTGCCTCAGTGGGAGGGTGCTCCTGCATGGGGCTGCTCCCAGCTCTGTGAGGAGCAGTGCCCTGTGGAGAAGCCTGAGGCGCTGAGACATGCCCTAAGCATCCAGCATGGAGTCTGATCCACTCTCCTGACATCAGGGCACTGCTCAGCTCTGCTGCTCCACAGCTGTGCCAAGGGATGGGGCCAGCTACTGGCACCTGGGAGCCACAGAAACGGGATGTGCTCCTCTCCCCTGGTGTTACATGCGCAGTGTCAGCCCTTGTTCCCTGACCTCCACTCCACACTCATCCATGGTGAGGGCCAGCATAGGGCAGGGAAGAGGATGGCATGGGCTGGTTCTGGGCCCCCTCTGATGAGCCAGGGACTGGAGGGGCCTGGTACTGTTGGTGGAAGAGGAGCAGGCGCCCTGCAACTGTAGAAGTCAAAAAAGGTGGCAAAGTGAGACAAGACACTGAATGTCATCCTCTGGTGCTGAGCTTGACACCTCCTTGTTTGGTTTGCAGACTGTCGGCGAGTCCTTGCTGTACATGCTGGAGAAATGCCTTGGTGCTGCCTTCAGCCCAGAGGTGCAGGAAGCTTGGAGCAAACTCTACAGTGCTGTGGTGAAAGCCATGCAACGTGGCTGGGAGAGCCTCCCAGAAGGGGACTAGTTCCTGCCAGCCATCCCTGTCCCTGACCATGCAGTGCTCCTGAGCACGGGGAGTCTCACACCACACTCGCTGCCTCTCCCCACCTCTGTCTTGCTGTGTGCCCCAGCCCATGGCTGCCTCTGCCACTCACACTGCTGCAGGGCTCTCACCTGGTTCCATCCTTCTTCAACACGAGCGTGTGTCTGCCTTTGCTCAGGGCTGGCAGGGCATGTCCCTGCAGAAAGCCTGGCAGTGCCGCAGCACAGGTATGCCACCCTGCCCCAAGTTCCTTCAGGAACGCCAACACCCAGGTACCTACTCTGGGTTTTAGCTTGCTCATCTTCCCTCCTCTTGCTACCCCAGGTAGGTGACAGCTGGCACAGGCCTCTTGGGCTTGTTTGCACAAAATCCCATTTGCTGTGCTTTACCTGCCAGGTCTGACATGCTCAGTCCTCCTGTGCTGCTGTACCTGGTTCATCTGTGGCAGTGACAGATTTGGCTCCATCCAGGTCAAAAGGCAGCAAGAGAGCAAGGCTGGTCACACCGTGTGGCTGTCCTCAAACCTTGCAGAGAGTTTTCCCCCTCTCCCTTCATCAATATATCCCTACCAGATGGTTGATCCTGGTGCTTTTTTCTTCCTTGCCTCTGACCTGGATGGGATCCCTGGCTTTTCCCTGTGTCAGGTTGGCCACAACCCAGTAGGTTTCCTAGGAATGCTTCAGGCAATGGTGTCACATTAATCCCAAGGTGAGACTACTTTTGGCAGAGTTGGGCTGCCAGCTGAAAGGCTTTGTGTTGATTTGGCCAGCTGGTTTAACCTTAGAGCCATCTGAAATGCAGCAACAGCAGCAGTAGCAATGTCTGTTTACTGCTTTGTGTTTAGGAAAATAAAATAAATCCAAGGAAAAGATGTCTTTAAAATGAAGGTTGCAATGGTGTCATAGCAACAGCTTTCAGAAATTCTGGCTCTTGGCCAGAGGAAGCAGAGCTGGAATCTTTGTGCCGATGCTGTCAGAATCTGGAGCGCTCCCCAGCTGCTCACAGTGCCCATCTGCAGAGTTCCTCACGCTCACAGCAATGAGACAGCATCTGCTAGAAGAAATCCCAGAAAACTGCTGAGAGGCAGCACCTGAAGGCTTTGTGAAGGGGCTGAACTTGAGCACTTTGAGGAAGAGTTCATCTTTATGGGGAAGTCACTGTGGAATATGCAGAACAATGTTTCTGGCCACTGTTAGCCCCAGGCAAGGACATGGAGCAATTATTCAGTTACAGGCACCCTTTTTTCTGCTTCTTCTTCAGGGCAGGAGGAGCCCAGTGTTGAGGTTTGAGATGCTCCTGTTCTGAAGACACATTCCTCCTGTTCTCAGATGTCCTCCACTCTGGGGCAGGAGAAAGCTGCCTGCTCAATGTAACTGAGGTCTCCTAGGCCCCTGCCATGGAGAGGATGATGAGGTGCCCTGTAAGATGGGTCTCTAGTGCAGTGCCATGGGCTACCATCAAAAACCCCCCCAAGGTGTGTTTGGAGGAAAGTTAACAGGTGCTGTGAAACAGACAGTGTTCCTTGTCCTCCCCATGGTACCATGTTCTGCCCCTGCAGCCCTGCAGTATGGTGGTGTCCTGTCCATCCTGGCCCATGACTCTCTCCATCAGCTGAGTCAGGTGGAGTTCTCCCCATTCTTGCACCCAGTAGTGAGGGATGGAGGAGCTGGGGCTTTGATGGCACTGTAGGGGGCACGAGGGTTTGGGAATGTCCTCTTTACAACCCTGTTATGGGGCATCAGCCTTCAGCATCATGGGACACCTCCTGGCTCCATGTGACAAGTAGGCAGCTCTGTGATGGGTGGGATGTGGGTGTTACTACCCAAACCATCCCTGCTCCTTCTAGCTTTCCCAGCTCCTTGATGTCTGCTCTTCTGTGCCACATTTTATGTAACTCCCAAGAGAACTGGTTTGTGTGCCTCTTATACCCAGCTGTACTGTTTATTAAAAAACAACAGTGAGTCTTCGCCTTTTCTGATGCCTTGTGTTTATTTTAATATAAAAGCCCCAAGCAGACCAGGAAAAAAGAATGACAGAGGGGAGTTTCTTGTTGATTCTAGCTTTGGAGATATTGGTCACTGGGAGCACTTGTGTAGTGCAGCTTGACTGACATGAGAAGGCATCCACCAGCAAAAGCATGTTGGGAGCTTTTGTGCCTGGTAATTCAGCGAGTGAGCAGTGGAGGGGCTAACAGAGACACCCTGCTACTGATTGCTCAGACCCTTCAAGTCTGATAATCTCTAAGGGAATCAGAATTTTAAGCAATCAGCCTAAAAATCCCTTTTCTGTTGTTCAGATACTGCTTTTTTTGTTTTGTCATAGCACAGGCTCACCTGTTGCTGGTCACCTGCCATTGGTCACCCAGTGCTGGTCATCAGCAGCAGCAGAGCATGGACTTCATAATGAAGTCCTGTCTGGTTCCATGGAGCATCATCCACCCTGCCATAACTGGATTGCAGTTATTCCAGCAGCCCTGCCCAGGGAGCAGCTGGTGAGGATGCAGGAGGTTCTGTCTTCTAGCATGTTCTAGCTTTGACATGAAGGGTTTCCAGCCCTGTGAGAGTTGGGCACTTGATGCTGGAAGAATGGTGCCTAGAGTGGGGAAGCCAGGCCAGGGTCTGTAATAGCATCTTTCAAAGGCTGGAAATCCCAGCCCTGGCACAGGAGAGAAGGAAAAACATCCTGAGAGAGCCATGCTGTCCATTTAGGATGGGATTGTTCCAAAAGGCAATGTGTGATGGGCTGTGAAGGGCATGGAGAGCAGCAGAGATCTGAATTTAAAGAAATTCCCCCTTTGGGTCATTGATAAAGTTAATTTTCCCACTCTTGCTCTCAGGACTGGTGGTGGGAGCCCAAACCTGGCACTGCAGGGTAGGGCCAGCATGGCAGGCTCCAGCAGCACTCCCATCTTTGGCTGCCTGTGCCAGCAGGGAGGTTTGCTAAGCTCCCACAGACTCCCCTTTGCTGTGGCTGCTGCCCAGTGGGGACGGTCCTGTCACTGCCTGTCAGCAGCTGGCACAGTGAGAGACTCCAGGCTATTGCTGGGCCTGGCTGCAGGGATTCTGGGTGCAGGCTGCCCTCAGGGAGCGGGGTGTGAGCGGGGTTCAAGGCAGAGTGCAGTGTGACAGGGCTGACACCCTCAGCTGGCCCTGGGGAGCTTCCCAGTGTGAGGCTCAGGGAAGCTGCAGCCAGGGGCCATCCCAGCTCCCAGCCAGAGCCCCTGCCCAGCTCCCCAGCACAGCACTGCCCTGTGTTAACTCTGTTTACCTCTCCTTACCAACCGTGGGGGGTCTCTGTAGGGGCATGCAATGGGTTTTACATTTCCCAGGTGTTCACCCAAAGGGAAGCCCTCCCCACGCCTCCTGCCCAGTGCCATTAACCAGAGTGGCAGGGCTCACTCCAGGGAAGCTGAGGAGGAGCCAGCAGGAGGGACCTGCTGAAACCAGAGGCAAATCATTCAACTAGGAATTGAGGTAAAAAATAGTGCGTATTTTGGGAGGGAGGAGGGCAGAAAAGAACACTGTTCTCTCAAAATCTAGAGAAGGACTTCCAAAATGGTGTTCACCCCCTTCCCTGGGACTTGCTGGTGGGTAGTTCAGCCTTGGGAGCACCTGCTCCACCCTCAGATGGGATGGGTTCCTCCTGTCCCTGACCCTTGCTGTGGTCCCAGAGGGGCTCCAGGCCACCCTTGTGCTACCCTCAAGCAGCATCTGCACCTTTGGTGGTGCTCTGAGCCAGCTCTGCCAATGGAGTGACTGCTGACAGAAGGTGGGCAAGAAAGGCACATGAGTGTCCCCGCCCACCCTCAATGGGGGGATGGTGCCAAGGGCTGTGCCACTCTATCTGGGACATAGTGAGGTGCCCTCCCACTCTTGAAACTTTGCTGCTTCTGCCCACGTGTTGGGGTTTGTTTTTATGGGGATCATAGTGGGCAGTCTGGAGGTGGGGATGTGTCCAAGCAGTCTCCTTGCCACTGAAGCATGTGCAGGATGTCCCAGGCAGGGTCAAAAGCAGCCCACAGGTGGGAAAAGGCTCCAGTGGCAAGGGTTCCCCCTAAACCAGTGCCAGGAAAGACGCATGGGGGTGACGACGCCAGGCAGCAGCTGGGTGAAGTCATTTTATTCAAGGCACGGTCATAGCAATAAATCACGAGAAGGTACAGACCTCTGGCACATTCCTGCAGAGGGGCAGCCAAGGGCAATCAGACCAGCAGCCCGAGCTCCCGAGGACACAGTGCCACTCGCAGGCACTTGCTTCCACCCTCAGAGAGGCCACCAGCATCCCCGTGCCCTGCCTGGGGCTGCCTCTGGAGCAGGCAGTGAGGGGAGCAGCTGAGCTGTGGGCAGCCACGGGGGCACCTGGGCAGGAGGCCACAACCCCCCCAGGGAACTTTTTGGGATTAGAAGGGTGTGTCTGAGCTCAAGGCTCCCCCGAGGCAGCCCCTTTGTGGCTAGGGTGCCGCAGCCACCGCCCCAGTGTGCAGGAGCGCGGGTGGGACGGGGGCCATGGGACTGCCACCCGGCTGAGCTGAGATCCACCAGCCCCACAGGAACGTCCTAAGGGCCCCCTCAATGCTCTCACTGCTGGGCTGCCTCTTAACCTCCCCTCAGCCCAGAGCTGGCACATTACCCCTCCTCCCAGCGGCACTGCTAATGCTAACCAGTGCCAAGGAGCATCTGCCTTCACACAACAGCACTCGGCATGCCAGCAGCCTTGGTGCTGGCAGAGCTGCGCCTTCCTCCCTTCCCTCCCTGCACTGCCCTGGGACGATGCAACTCTGGCTGCTCTGAAGCTAGCAGGAGAATCAGGGGCAGGAAAATCAGCCCTGAGGCCAAAGCAGGGCTGAGTGAGGAGCCAGCATGCCCAGGTGGGTTAAGGTGGGAGAGGAGCTGAGGAGAATGAGGATAAACCTTCATCCCCAGAGGCCACCACAGGTACTCTGGATGAGCTGGAAAACTCCAGGGATGCTGTCTGGGCAGGTAATGGCACATTTACACTAATCACAGCAGGACTCACACTTGAGAGGCAGTGTGGCTACTGGGGGAGCATCCCACAGCTGCAGCTTGTGGACAAGGGCACGCAGGCAGGGTGCGGTGGACCAGGAGGACCTAGAAGCCCAGGTCCTGCCAGCCTCCACCTGTCCCCCCTGTTCTGTTGCATTAGGACAGAGCTATTCTGGGTCCCATGGGCAGCCCCAGTGAGAGCATGAGCACGATGGGTGCTGCCAGGGAAGAGGAGTGAAAAGGAGCTGCCCTCAAAGCCATTAAACACACTTGTCTCTTGACCTTCCACTTCTCCTCATGAGCCATGGGGCACAGGCATTGTGCAACAAGATGGGGGGATGGGGTGGGAGGTTGAGGAAGAGCTGGGCTTGCATTTGATGCCTACCTTGGTGCAGGGCTGTTGGTACTCATGTAGGGGCTCTGGTGGCAGATTGGGACACTCACCTCCTCCACCAAAGCACAGGCATGTCAGCAGCCCCTGCTGAAATGGGCAAAGAGGGGCAGGCAGCAGCCTGCAGGCCAGCAGCAGGGGAGACAGGACAGCTGCCTGAGCAGTGGATGGCTGGGGTGAGATGCAAGAGTTATGGGTGGCTGTCCCCTGCCACTGAGGACCCAGAGGACAGCGTGGTGGCAGGCACATTCATCTGGGCTGTCTGGGCTGCTTCCTCCTCTCAGAAGGGACAGGGCCTCCCTCCTGCCCCCAAAAGCATGGCCTCTCAGAGAGACCCGATTCTGCTGCACTCCCTCTTCCCCACGGTGTGCTGGAAGAGGCAGGTGGGGACAGGGGGGCACTAGGGGGCTCAGCCAGTGCAAGCAACAGGAAGGATCATCAGACCCTCCTGCCACTGCCCATGCAATGGGGTCTCTCCCTCACATCAGTCTTGTCATCCCCTGCCCCATCAGCAAGGTGGCCCCACCAGTGCAGGGAAGGCTCCTCCTGCCCCAGGGCACGTCCTCCGCTCCCAGCACAGTCACTCTCAGCTGTGGCAGGGATGCTCACTGGTAGCGAGCCTGGCTCTCCATCACGGGGCCGCTCCTGTACTCGCCCTCCACGGTCTCCAGCTCTGTCTCGAAGCTCTGCAGACCCCCATCCTCCCCATCCTCCGCTGGCTCCAGGTGGTTGCCCATGGTGCCATAGGACTGGTGTGCCGGAGAGGCTGCCGGCGTCAGGCTCAGCTCAGGCTCCTGCAGGACGGTGGCCACAAAGAGCTGCCCGGGGGGCAGGGGGCCATCAGGAACCAGGGGAGCGAGAGCAGATGATCACAGCAGGGCTGGGGAGGGGCACTCACATTGGAGTTAGGGGTGGAGGAAACGCTGCTCCGCTCCACATCATTGAAGGCGCCCTCAGACTGGTCAGACATCTGAGGAGAAGGAAGCCATGAGGAAATCATGGTTTGGAGGGCCCAGCTTTGGTGGGGACAGCCAGGTGCTATCTCAGATTCCCCAGGGCAAGCCAGGAGGGGATGCACTGGGGTGAAGGAACAGAGTGGGTGGCTGGCTGCGCTCACCTGGTAGCTTGAGGGTTTCCGTGGCTGCAGCTTCTTCAGGCAGAGGCCAAAGAAGGAGAAGATGATGCAGGAAAGGAGGACCACAAAGGTGAAGAGGGTGACAGGCCGGGTGGGACCTAGAGCACAGAGACACTGGGGCAGCACATAAGCCTCCAAGAACCTGCTGCATGTCCAGCTGAGCCCCAGGCTGGTGCCTGCTTTGGGTTTTACAAGCTCTCAACCTCCTTCCCAAAATACAAGCTGACACCTCCTTCATCTGCCAGGTCTTCACACCACCCTTATCACCCTCCATGCCACGCCTAACTCAAGGGTGACACCAGTGGCTCATCACCCCCAAACATCAGACATGACCCTCAGCAGTGGCAGGGCACAGCCCCAGGCTCTCCCTACCGAGGCGCAGGACGGAGAAGAAGAGCAGCCAGAACATGCAGAGGATGGGGGCCACCACGACCTGGCTGATGGCGGCAACGTGGAGGCGCTGGTTCAGTTTGGTGGGGATGTACACGTAGTAAATGTTGTACCGGTCAACCATGTGCTTGAGCAGCATGTAGAGCAACCCTGGTGGGATGAGAGGAGCCATCTGGATGGAGGGCAGTGTGGACAGCTAGGCCACAGGGAGAGCAGGGCAGGCCCTGGGAACGATGCCCAAGGGTGCCCTCTGTACCATGCAGGAAGCCTGCACTCCCGTGCTGCTGCTAGTGGCTGGGACAGGCTGTTCTTGGCATGGCTGGGACCATGGGCATGGGATCATACTCACCAAAGGGGACGATGATAGGGCAGGTGATGCTGTAGGTCATGACAACAGAGAAGATACAGCAGGTCCAGGCATACTCTAGTCCAAACTGGAACTGGTAAGCTTGACTCTGGGGCATAACCAACACAGTAATTGCCACCTCTGTCACTGCAAAGCCTGCCTCTGCACCCTGGCCCACAGGACTGCCTCAGCCCCACTAGCCCCTAGGGGCCTGAAGAAGTCCCCATAAGCATCTCCACAGAACCATGACAGCCTGAGTTTGCATCTCTGCTGTGCTGGGGTCACAAAGGCTCCCAGGTGACCAGAGCCACATACCCGCTTGACATGGAGCCGCTCGGGCTCGGACTTGGCGAAGCAGAGGCGAGCAGTGTAGACGAGGAGGCCTGGGATGCGCAGCAGCTCCATGGCCGTCCCAATCAGGCTGGAGGTCACCACGTAGTTGACGAAGAAGGCGCCATTGTCTGGGAGGAAAACGCACCTGCCCCAGGGACAGAGAGGTGACACAGTGAGAGAATGCTCAGGCAGGAGCTGCAAGAGCTGCTGGCGGTGGACAACAGGTGCTCCCGCTTGCCTGGGAAGTTTGGGAGCTTCCTGCTACTCACTGGAACTTGACTTCAGCCTCATCCAGAAAGTGGGTGTCGAAGAGCCAGCGGAAAAACAGGTCCAGGCTGGAGGGGACACGAGAGGAGCAGCTCAGACAGAGGGGGAGCTACAGAGCGATGTGAGAGACACCCAGCAGGCATGTGATCCCCTGTCCTGAGCAGGCAAAACCCTCTGCACCCTACACTGCCAGGGCAGCCCCTTCTGCCACACGACACCACTGTGGAGTGTGTGCTCGCCTCCTGGATGGCCGCCAGGATTACTGTAGCTGGAGCTATGCAGGACCTGACCAGGTCTTTTTAGGGTCTGCCGAACCCAAGCAGCAGCTGATCTGCCACCAGCCCCCTTGGGTCAGCTGTGACAGCCTGGTAAGCTGCTCTGCTCCACTTCTCTGCAGGGAAGGTTTCCATCGGTGACCATGTATGAGTGGCTCAGCACTGCTACAGGAGTGTTTTCCTCCCCAGAGATCACTGTGTTTCGGTGGACAATGGGATCTTAGCCCTTTGGGGCTGGATTGCAGGGGTGAGGGGCCTAGGTGTGATCCTGGCAGCTCAGGAGCAGGGGGAGCAGCATGGCAGGGTGTCTGTACCTGCTCAGACCCAGCGAGGGCAGGATGATAACCATGAACACCAGGAAGAAAAAGCACTTGTGCATGGTGATCTGATTTTCACTTGACCTGCAGAGAGGGAAGACAAGAAAAGAACATTGCACTTTTGTGGGAAAGAGCAGAAGGTGGGGTGAGGGGCTGGGCTTGGTCTCGCTTTTCACCAAGGAGTTACTCCCTGCTTCACAAAGCTGTGTGCATTTGGTCTGTACATCCACTGGGGCCTTGCAAAGACTCTCCCAGGCTAGGGTGTGTCACCATGAGGAATCTGCTGCAGCCTCTCATCTCCTTCATCTTTGCCCTCTCCTACCATCCCTGCTGGTATAGACACCCAATAAGAGGCAGATGTCTAGCATGAATTCATGACCTGTTTCCCCCAGAAAAAGGAAGGGAGGTGGTGACAAAGCTCCTACAAGGACTTATCAGATGAGACACAGGGTTTGGGGCTGATGGAGGGTCAAGACAAAGAGAGCTCCTTGTAGGAGCTGGGCAGTTTCCCCTACTTTAAGCATCTTGAACCCATATCTCTGCCTTGGAGGACTGGAAACATGCCTGGGATGGCCCTGCTGCTGCCAGTCCACCATCACACCGTCCCTCTTACAAACTTCTTCCATCTTTAAGATCCATCTTAAAACCAACTGACTTTGTCAGTGGCCTGAAAGTGTTGAGGACTTTGGGAAGCAAATGGCACCTTTGTGCATGGACCCAGGGGGCTCTGCTCCACTGTGGGGGTCTGCTACTCACTGTCTGCCTCCCTGCAGGCTGGGTTCCCCTTCCACTGCAGTTCCTCCCATCTGTGGCAGCCCTGGGGGCTGTGGGGACCAGCCCCATTACCTTGTCCAGTGAGACTCGAAGAATGCTGAGTAGTAGACAAGGAAGGGCAGGAAGACGGAGAAGGCCCAGAGCAGCAGCGTGGGGAAAAACTGGGTGATGATGGGGTTCTGCAGGAAGAGAGAGGCCAAACACCCCCTCAGCAACCCACCACAGCACAGCCAGGCTGGAGACTGCACACAATGGTCTGTGCAGCAGGTGGGCTGGAGCATCCCCTCCCCGAGCAGGGGCATTTGTTTCAGGAAATAAGAACTTGAGACCAGCCAAGGGCACCACAGCCATGTTCTGAGCTCCAGTGCCCACCCAAAAGCTCACAAGTCAATGAGCAAGAAGGGGCTGTGCTGCTGGCAGCTCCTGACATCTCCTGAGCTCTTTCCCAACCTTTCTTTTTGAATGGACAGCAACCTGCCTGCCTCCATGGAGGCATCAGCACCAAAGCTCAGGTGCTGCCCCAAGGCTCTGCCACTGGAAACACAATGAGAAGGGGATGGATAGCAAGCACAGACATGATCTCATTAATGACTTTGTTTCCCATCAATGCCCATCCTGGTGATGGCTCATCTTAGGACAGTGTAGAGCTGGTGCCCTTTACCTGTCACAGATAAGCCTGGAAATTACAATCTTTCAGGAAAATTGGCATGGGTTAGGGACTACCTTGAGGCTCTCCACAGGGTGTGTGACATTGAACATGTCCATAGTGTTGACAATGATGGCTGGCGTTGTGAGGAAGAAAAGAAGGAGGAACAGGCAGATATTAAGCAGAATGAATCGCACCCACCACGATGTGCCACGGACTGATAAATTCTCCCTGTAAGAGGAAAACACAACTTGAACACGATGAGGAGGAAATGCACTGTGTGCTGGGCCTTCCATCATAGCTTCATGAAGCTCTGCCTCCTGCTATCTGCACAAACCATCCTGGCAGACATTGTTCTGAGCTCGCCCTCTTCCCCTCCCCTCGCTGCTTTGCTGTCATATACAGAGCCCCCCGAAGCAGAGAATAGGCACAGTGCAGGTTCATACCATCAGGAGGCTTTGGAACCAGGCCAGACAAATCAGAGTCTGGCAATCACCCCTAATCTCAGCTGGCTGGGCCCTGCCACCTTTGGGAGGAACACCCCAATTGCTCCTGCTGACTTCTGCTATGGCAATAGGAGGGATTTTCAGCCCCCATCACCCTTGGAAAGTGTCCTACAGATACAGACACAGATTTCCTACAGCTATACGGGCTCCCTATAGTTATGGGCATAGTCTCCTTATAGCTAGGTACATGGGCTCCTTATAGGTATGGACATGGGCTTCCCCATATCTGCTTGTTCCCCCTGCCTCCCTCCCTCCTGCCGTGGGGGTTCACCAGATGATATCACTGGGTGAAGGGGCATAGCGAACACCCCAGTGGTGTGACTTGACCACGGTGGTGACAGAGGACTGCTGGGGGTGCTTGCGGCAGTGGATGTGGCTGTAGTCCTTCAAAATCCTGCAGGAAGAGGGAGCCAGGGGTCAGGTCTCACTTCTTGTGAGACCCTTCCCACAGCCTTAACAGGGCAGGCAACGCCGCAGATGGCAGAGGCAAAGAAGAGACCGACCCACTGCCTGGCTTTGGTGGGAAAAGCTGGCAAGGTGCCCCAGCTCCCCAGCAGTAGTGGCCAACAGGCTGAGGGACATTCCCATGGCCTGTGCATGAGGGGCACTCACACAGCTGTCATCCGCTCGTCCTGGAAGGTGACGAAGGCCATATCAAGCCGCTTGAGTGTGATGCGGTTGCGCTCTGCATTGAACTCATCTGTGAGCTTCTCCTCCAGCTCCCCGTAATACTGCTCAGCATCCACCTGTGGGAGCAGCCACGGCTGTGCTGTGCACGGGGCTGGGGCAGGGGCAAGCTGCCATGCTCTGCCTTGCCCGTGGTGCAGGTGTGCTGCCTGCAGCCCTGCCTGCAGCCTCCCACCTCATCAAAGCCACAGAAGCGGCAGCAGAAGATGCGGGCACAGGGGTGAGTTTTGATCATGATCTTCCCCTCCTTCTGTGCCTTGGTGGTGAAATAAAGCCGCCCCTTCATTGCTTTGCGCCTGCCAGGAAGCCGATAGCAAAGGTCATGTGGGGAGCACCAGAGTGGGTGCCTTGGTGTGGTGGGCAGGAGCAGCACACCCTCCCAGAGAGGCAACATAGACGTGCATGCACTCACCTCTCTGCATCCAGCTTCATCAGCTTGCGCACGTCAAAGCAGAACTGGACATTGGTGACGGTGCAGCTGGGATAAGCCTCGCTGCAAGCACAGGGACATGGTGGCACCAGCAGCCAGGGGACAGGGACACTCCCTGCCACCTGCCTGCCACTCACCCAGCAAAGCTGTGGCACATGGCTACTCACTGGAAATGCTTGATGATAAGTGAAGGGTCTGTGATCTCCTTGGGGATGTGGGTAACCATCAGTGTCCGAGCGACCTTGGGGAAGAGAAGAGGCAAAGGGATCTGCAGGATGGATCTGCAGGATATAATGCTGCCATCCTGTCCACCCAGCAGCAAGCTGGGCCACCAGCTGCCACCCTAGAAGCAAGTCAGCCCAGTCCCAAACCCTGAGGGCACAGCCAGACAATGCCATACCCCAGACAGATGGATACAGAACTTCAGTCTCAAGATACAAGACAAGAGAGAGAGATTTGCCTCCAGGCTGTCACTTTATCCAGAAGCTGGTGAAAATCAGCCACACCTTTCCCTGCCAGTCTAGTTTCATGCTGTTCCTAAAAACCTCTGTACCTACTGGGACCAGCATTTGTGCAAAGCAAGAAGTTGGCCATTAGCAGCACTGAACAAGGCAGGTTTGGAGGAGAGGTGGTTTCTCACCTTCTCATTCTCTCTGTATTCCAGGTGGACAGAGTGGTGAGCCATACAAAGGACAGTGAAGATAAAATAGATTAGGGCGAAGATGCTGTGCAGCCACAGAAGACGGTCTCTGCAAGAGAGGAAGTGGGGAGCAGTGAGCACTGTGGTGAGCATGTGGCACAAGGACCAGCCTGGCACTCAGCATCTCACTCATGGCCGCCCCTTCCACCCAGCAGGACCCCCCGGTGCCAGCTGTCAGACACTCACCCCAGGAACTTGAGGGGCAGCACCCAGGCTGTTGACTGGGATACTACAGAGATGCAGCTACACAACATCCCCAAGAGCACTTCTGCCAGCAGTGGGGTGCAAGAGCAGTGCCACTGGCTTGGCTGCCCTAACTGTGCTCATGTAGTAAAGAGAGACAGGAGAGCCAGTGTGAGTGGTGTGTGTCCCCAGCACAGGGCTGTGGTGAGTTCTGTGCCTAGGTGCTCCCAGCAGTGCCCACCACAGCAGCAGCACACAGAGCCCCCCTGCCTGTGAGAGCACCTACTGAGTTGGGATGTTGGCGATGGTTGTCCGGCCAAAGTGGGTAGGATTGTGTCCTGCAGAGGAAGAGGAGAAGCAGAAGGTGAAGAGAACCCAGTGCAATGTGCATGTCCATATTGCAGTCATTGGCTGTGGTCTTTGGTCCCTTCTTTTCCATCTCCCAGATCCCCAAGTCGCCACTGCCCTAATTTCCCAGCCTCTTATGCTCCTCTGTCACCCAGCTGAGGGTGAGCTCCTGCTCACGTGGGGGCTTCTGAGAGAGGGTTTTTTTTTTCCTTCTTTCCCAGAGGCACAATGTTTGTCCAAAGGCTTGGAAGCTTGCATGGCACTCCTGAGTCATCCTGTGACTAGGGAAGTACCTACCCAGGAGGTCCCCAGAGAAGTTGACAGGCAGGATGACAGCCACGGAGAGCACGCAAACCAGCATCAGCAGGACCAGGAGGTGCCGCTGGAAGGAGAGGTAGGTGGTGGCATCGATCCCACACTTGCTCTGAATCTCCTCATCCCTGGAGAGAGGCAGGTGGGGGTCAGTGCTGGTGGTTTCTCCCCACCACCTCCTGTCATGGGGACACTGGCTTGCTCCAGTTTCTCACAACCCACACCAACTCATGACACCCTGACAGTGGCACAAAGGATTTGAGCACAGAGGGAATGAGGGACCCAAGCAGCCCTCCAACTGCATCTCATTACAGGACTGGTGTACAGGAGAGGTTGAAGCCCTTTTCTTTGGGATAGGATCTAGGGGCCAGGAGGAAATGCAGAGGTGAGCTCTCTGCTCTCTTTTCAGAGAGGATGTTTTAAGAGGGCTCTCCTCTGCCACTGCTCCCAGCAGCTCCTGGTGATGGGCCACCACCTGTGGGCACCAGTTCCCCATGGCTGGGCAGTGGTGGGGCAAGACCATAATGCCAAGCACACACACTTACTTCATCTGGTAGATAGAAAGTAGCCAGGAACAGAATCCCTAGAAGGAAAAAGAGTCAGGATGAGACAAGGACAACCACCCCCACCTCCCTAGTGAGGGACCAAGTCACAACATATGCTGGGGAAACACGCAGAGGCGGTGCAGTGCCTGTGGCCTTGAGCAAATGGAGGCAGTGCCCAAGACAGCTCAACAATGCTCAACCCAATGGCAAAGGCAGCTGCCTCAGGAGAAGCAAGGAAAACACACTCCAAAGAGCTGATGGGAAGCTGAGCACAACCTCTCTTCTAGCCCTGATAGACCATGTGACCTTCTTGAAAGTAGTGATAAGACAATTTCTGTGAGTGGGAATAAGGAGTCTGCTGGGGCAGGGGTATAAAGGGACAGGGAAGTCTCTCTACAAACATCAACCATCCTGATGGATGTCAGCTGCATACTTTTGGCTGCAGGAGGATTTGTAGAAGAAGCTGAAGTCAAGCATTAACCCAGTGTTTCAGCGGTGACTTGATGGACTTCAGCTTCCTCTGAACATTAAGGAGCATCACTGCAACAGGCTCCTGCTTCCAGACCTCCCTCCTCTTCCCCTTCCATGACAGTCCCTAACATTCAATGCATGTTTTTTGCCACTAGCAAGTGCTGAGGTGGCACTGTTGCAGAGAGCTACGTGACAACCTAAGTTCTTGTGCCCTAACTAGCTTATTCCCTGTCACTGTGTACACACATGGGTTTTCAGACATTCCCCTGGTGAAGGAGGACTGGGTTAGAAAACACCTAAGCACACCTGACATCCACAAGTCTGTGGGCTCTGACAGGATGCATGCTGAGAGAGCTGGTGGACACCACAGCAAGGCAGCTCATGATCATCTTTGAAAGGCTGTGGTGATCAGGAAAGGTGCCTGAGGACTGGAAGAAAGCACCATGCACTGTAACAGATTGCCCAGAGAGGTTGTGGAGTCTCCTTCACTGGAGATACTGAAGATACAATCCTGTGCTATGTGCTCTAGGATGACTCTGCTTGAACAAGGAGGTTGGACCAGATGACCCTGTTGGTTCCTTTCAACTCTGCCCATTCTGTGATTTTGTGATTCTGGACTTTTTATGCTCTCTACAAATTTCTCCTCAAAACTGCTCTTCTCCCCTCTTAGTGTATCCTACATCTAACCTAGCAGAGTTGAGATTTTCCTCATTTGTGAACAGTTTGATTTTTCAAAGGATGTCTTCTTGCTTCTAATAATCTCCTTTAATCTGCTCTTTAGTGTGCTGGCTTTCCCTGTAGTCTTTCTCACTTATTTTTTGATGAGCAATACACATTTGCCCAGAGCACCTGGTACAGAGCCTTTAAAGAGGCCTCCTGCCACCTTGCAAGGATTTTGTGTCTTTTGCTCCTTTCCTACCTAGATTTTTTAATAAGTCATGACATTTTATCACAGTCGTACCAGTGACTGATTTTTGAGTTTTGCTGCCAAAAAAGAAAGAGACAGCAAGAAATGTCAGTCTTTGTTTGTTTCCAGGAAAGCCTGATGTGCTAGAGAGAAGCAGATTTTACTTTAAAGCCCCACCATGCTGGCAGAGGAGGAAATATGGTGTGGGGGACTTGATCCTGAGGGGTGGGAAAGATTCTTGCAGCCATGCAGCTGGGCTCTGGCCATGCATCGTACTGGATCCACACAGCTGCAAGGAGAGCCATGCAGCTGGGAGATGCTGGCCAACAGGGGCATCCCCTCCAAACTGCCATTCAAAATAGATGCTTCAAAGAATCCAGGACAAAAAACTCTCCAGCTTCCAGGAACTCCCCACTACTGAAGAGTGTTGGGCAGGAGATTTAATTTCTCACACTTAACTTCCGACCAGGGTTTCTGATGAAGAACAGGACAGGGCTAGGCTGGGACAAGCCCAGCCCAGGTTCCCACAGCCACAGCCACTGGCACTCACCACATCCTTGTTGTCAGCATCCAGAGGGCTGCTCTCTGATGGGGACTTCTCCTTCTCGCTCTGCTCTCCATAGAAAAGCGACGTCAGGCTTTGCAGCGAGGGGAGGAGCAGAGGGGTGAGGCAGAAGAGAAGCAGCAGACATGAGAGGATAAGCACCCTTGGAGAAGTCTCTCCTAGCACAGCAGTCCAAGAAATCCCTCCCCCCCTCCCTGCATCCTACACTGGGGCTGGTACAGTGATTACCTCTGGCCTTGGGACAAAGGGGTTCCATCTTGCTGCCTCCACACCAACATGTTCTCCCCAGCTTCTTTATGCCCTGACCCATGATGGGCTCATGGAGATGGACCTGCAGCTCCATTACAAGGGACTGTTGAACCAGATATTTTCTATTCCACTGTTTTCAGATGTCTCAATTGGTTTTACAGTAAAAAGCAATCTAATCAGAGCTTGCATTTTAAATCCTGATTGCCCTTTGATCTTACTGGTGAAGGGAAAACATCACATATTCATCACCAGACTCAGCTCTAGATTCAGAGGCCAAGAGGAACTGGAGGGGAGAAGGCAGAAGAAGGACTTTAACAGATCTTACTCTTGTGGGCTGCCCAGCCTTGCACAGACCCCTCCTGTGTGCACCAGCCTGTGCAAGGAAAGATGCTTTGCTGCCCAAGGTGAGCTGCGCTCTGGCAGGCAAGCTGTTGTATGTAGTGCAGCCCACCTGGAAATATGGTCTGGGCTCTACTTTTACCAGAAAACTGCTTATTTTTGTGGAATTCTGCACCTAGCCCAGAGGATGGGCCAGGGAAGTTGCTGTGGTGACATGAGGAACAGTGTTATTGCTGTGTGTCTCCTCTGCCCCCTCCACCAGACAGTCCCGTTCATCCCAAGAGAGTGGCAGGAGAAGAGGCAGCAGCACAGTCTCCACTGGAAAACAGCTCTTTGTCCTTCCCAGAACAGTGCCCCCAATGGCACCAAGAACACTGTCAACAAATGCTAGAGGGAATGAAAGCTGGCCTGGCCTTTCCCTCTCCCTGTAGCAGATGGTGGCTGTGTCTCCATGGGAAATGGGGGCACCAGGCCATTCCCAGTAGGATGGAGGGACAGGAACACCTGCTGAACTCTGTGTCATGCCACAGTGCTGGCCTTTCTTCCAGCCCTCTTGAAGAGAATGGAGCCATCACCTGCAGCAGCTCTGCATCCTACTCACCTGTCATTGTCCATCAGCAGTGCCAGGCGCCCGTAGTCCCAAGCTGCTTTCCGAAGACATGAGAAGACCAGAAGGAGAAGCTGGAAGAAGAAAGAGAAGTGTTTTGCTGCAAAGTCTCACCCCATGGGATCTCCTCATATCTCCTTTGTGCTTTCCCACTCATGAGCCCAAGCAAAACTCTTACCCCAAACTGCTCCTGCTCTGTGACCTCACCACTGCTGCCCAAGTGTCCTTTGCTGCCACCAGGATGTGGGCAAAGCCCTTGGACCCCTGTACTCACCCCTGTTCCTCCCTCAGCCAGGTGCCCCAGTATACTCATCCCTGTTTCCCCTCAGCCAGGTGCACCAGTGCACTCATCCCTGTTCCCTGGTTTGCCAGGTGCACCACTGCACAGACTGCACTTGTGTGTGGCTGTCAGTGCCTGCAGGGGCTGCAGAGCCCCTAGAAATGCCCCCCTGCTGGCCCCTCACCAGCCAGAGGATGAAGTTGATGGCGAGCACGGTGGGCACGCCTCCAAAGGGCAGCCCCTCCAGGACGGTGCTGCGGGAGCGGGCGCTGAAGCACTGCTCCTCCGTGCTGTTCACCGGCGCCTCCAGGAAGAGGAGCACGTCCAGCGAGGTGAGGCCAGCACCATCCGGTGCTGGCTCCGTGGAGGACGTGCTCTCCATCGACACCGCTGTGAGGTCCCACCCTGCAACACAGAGGCATGAGTGAGGATGGAGAAGTCTTTGTTTGAAAAGAAGCCATGGTCCCTTCCATCAAGGTCTGAAGGGCTCACTAAGGGTAGAGAGGGGAGAGGACTGGCTGGTGGTCTCAGAGCTTCCCCAGTCCCAGTCTCTCACAGGGACAGGTTGTTGGATGCAAGGCAGAGGGTGTTGCTGAAGAAATCTCACAGCTACTTCCTGCCCTTTCCCCACCCCATTAAAGCCCATGCTATTTGGTTGTCTCTGTCATACCTGAGACAGGTCTCTCACCACCTCTGCTCCTCAGTCCTGGAAGCTGGGTTGAGTCATGGCCACCCTGGTGTTGTCAGCAGGCAGGAATGAGAAGCTGAAGCATTTGTTTGAATTTCTGAAAAAAAACAGCAATGATAATATTGACAACTGGGTTGCTGGGGCTGCACTTGCTTCTCTCCCCACAGTCAGGTATCTATTTCCTATGGAATATCCCTAAGCCTGTTGTCCTCCTCCAGCATCATGATCTGTGTGACTCAGGAGTTAGAGGACTTCCCTTTCATCTTTCCATCTAAGCAGAATTGCTCCTCCCAAGATATCTTTATCTCTTCTGAAGAGTTAGCTTCTCAAAACCCCAAGTGTCAGGCTTCCCACCACCCTCCCCAGGAGCTGATACCACAGGTTACAGTCCTCACTGGCATGAGACACCTAAAGGACATTAATGGCCAACACTGTGGCTTTTTTCCAAAACCTTTCCTACCACCATGCTTTAGGTAGGAGAGGATCCTCTCCAAACCTGCCTGGACCCCCTGAGAAGGAGCACCCTGCAGCAGCCAGCATGGCAGACTGTTACTCATGGGGATGCCACAGGACAGTACCAAACAGCTGCTGCACCCATCATTCAAAGATCAGGAGAGGGCACCAGCACAGCAAACACTAACAAACATGGGGTGGGGACAAGGGGGCCAGAGTCTCATGTCCTCATGTGCCTGTCCTGCCTCTGTGCTTTGGAGTCACCCTCAACACCTTTAGCAAGCTGCTTCTCATGCCTGAAGACCTGCATGGCCTTCAGAGAAGAACAGCTGTCTGTGGTGAGACGATCCAGTCTTTGGAAGCCTTGAGCAGCCAAATATTTCCTGGCCTGGGCCCTGAGCAAGGGCTTTTATCAATGACCTCCAAGGGGGCCCTTCCAACCACAATTATTCTACATCCCTACTCTCAGGAACTTGTGCACCTGACAAGAACATTATCAGGCCTGCCTGAAGTTTATAAGGAGCTATATAAGTGCCTTGCCTTGCAGACATGATGGGCACAATATATTGAAGTCAGTATATTGTGACCAGTGCAAAGGCTATGTGAAAACTCAAGAGTGGTTTACAACATGTACTCCTGGGAGCTTTGCATTCAAGCCACTGAGCATTCATTCCTCTCTTCCCTTTTCATCAATATTCCAGCCACAACTGAGACCCTGCTACAGCCCCTGCAGTCACCCAGCATCAGATAATCCCTGCTGGAGGCTGGTCAAAGCCCACATGAACAGGGTGGAGGAAGAGAAACGGGACCCATGGCTTGATTAAGCAGTGGAGGAGAATGCAAACAAAGACAGATGGGACCTCCAGGGACGTGGAGACGCAAAGTGTTTGTGGCAGTTTTTGTCACCAAGACCAAACAAGATCAAATCTTCAACACTAAAGGAAACCTAATTGAGAAGTCCTTGGGGAGCAGAGACAGCACACAGAAAATGACTTGGCTTAGAAAGGGGGTATTCCAAAGCTCTACACAGATTTGCTCTTGTTGGGAAACATTTACTTGTGCTGTGTCAGTGTGATAGATGGGGGACTACAGTAGCACCTGATTTTATATGCATGGCTGTGGCCTCAGCCTCTCTCTCTTAGACCTTGCAGTTTGCTGCTTGAGGAATCATGCCCTAAAGTTCACGAGAAGGAGATTAGTCCTGTCCTAAAGTTCATGAGGAGCCCATGAGGAACCCTCAACCCTCAGCTGACCAGAGTGGGCAGGACAGGAGTGCTGGTGCAGGAGCTGACATATGTTACATGCCTGAGAGACTGACTCCCTTTAACCTCCTCATCCAGGGAAAGAAAAAACTGAAGAAGAGGGAGGTTTTAAAACACAAGAGTTGACCAAAAAAAAGAAAAAAGGAAAAAAAAAAAGGGTGACCTGCGATTTTCTTCATTTCTGAAGCATAAATTCCATCCCAAAGCCCAAAGAAAAATCTCCACTGGAAGCCTAACAGTAGCTGGGATGATTGGAGCAAGGCTATGAGCCCAGAAGAGCTTAAGTCTCACTCCACTACAATATTAGGCTGGCATCTGACTACCTGCATAGATGTCTTGAACGGGTGTCAGAAGCTTCTGAGCTACAGGCCCAAATTCCCCAGGACATACAGACATGTGTCAGTCCCTTTTCCTGTGCATATGGTGCAATGTCACCTGAGCCAAAGGGCATCCCAGTAGACTTGGGGCTGATACTTTACTTCCACCCCACAAGTGGATGGATGGATGGATGGATGGATGGATGGATGGATGGATGGATGGATGGATGGACAGGCTGGCAAAGCCTCCCTGTAGTGCCCTCAGTCACAGCCTGTGTCTCAGCCATGGCTGGGAGTCCTGTACTTCAAGGGCCAGCATGGTCCCATCAGGGAAATGACCCCTGACAAGGGACCTCTACAAGAGACCTATAAGAAGTGAGGGAGCTACTCTGGCAAGCAGCAGCTGTTTGCCCTGGCTGGCCTGCCTCCTGCTCGTCACCTGGGCCACCAGGACCTCTAGCCAGGGTCTGCTCTTTGCTATGGCAATGCTCTCAATCTGTTCCTCACCATGTGCATGTCTCTCTCTCCCCTCCTCCTGTAAGCAGCAGAGCCACTGCCATCTGGCATTTTCAGCTGCTAAATAATTCACTGCCTTTTTGTTAACAAGGAGAGTTGTCTCTGACCGAGGGAGCTGTTAGACCATCAGCAAACAAACAAGGAGACCCTTAGCAACTTCAGAGTCCTTTCTCCGTCACCACCACTCCACTACACAGGAATAAGATCCTGCAGCTTGTTTCTAGGCACCGGCTTCACGCTTGTAGGAGGAACATCCTGTCAGGGATGGCAGGGTGAGGGGGATTTTCACAGGGATTTGCACAAGTTGTGTTTCTCTATCAAGTCCTTGTTGCTATCCCTTTCTTTTCCACATCAGATATTTTGCTCTTGGTGGCCAAAAGCAATGGGTTCCTCCTGGAGATGGTGTTAGTATCTCCTGCTCCCAGCTCTCCTGCCCAGAAAGCTCCCAAATGCAAGCCTTCACCCTTCCAGCCCAACCAGCTCATTTATCTCCACACAGCACTGCCCATTAAATGCCAGACTGCACAGACAAATTTCTGGAGCAGAAGACACTTGAAGACCCAATCCAGCTCTGTCCCCTCTCTCTTAAGCACCTCCAACTCCAAAGGAGTTCAAAGGAGCCATCATGTCCTGCTCAGGCTCTAAACACAGATTTTGCAATGCATCACAGCTCCTCTGAACCTGATCTCAAGCCACTCTCCTGCCCTTTTTCTGCTCCTTTCATCCCCAGATAGCTACAGAAACTCTCCTCTACATACCCAAATCACTACTTTTCTAGATCATTTGTTCCAGCTAGTCTCACCTTTTATGGTGCTGCTCTCAGAAAAGCTTATGCAAATTATATAGCTGCAATGTTACCATTAAAATAACTATTGGGGGCAACCAGCTAAAAGTAAATCATGTATATGTTCTAGGAACAGCATGCAGCAGAAACAGCAAGAGGAGATTTCTGCTCACATGCACCAAGAACAGCTTAAACTCAGACCTATAGAACATGTTCAAACTCCCTCTGGTTGGAGATGCAAATTTTTTGGTATACAGAATGAGAAATCACAGGGACACTGCAGGTCATTAAAGTCATTGTTGAAACACCTAAGCTAAATTTTCACATAAAAAAAATGAGAAAATTCAGCATTTTGAAATATTCAGTTGAAGGCACTTTGCAATAGTATCTGAAATATTCAACAAAACCCACAGCATCACCAAATCAGTTCCTGTTCTCTGCTACGCCACTGCCATTGTGCTTTTCCCAATCCTTATGGGCCAAAGGAACAAATACTGTTGTGGATAATAGAGCTGGATGGGTGTCACCTCCAGAAGGTGTCAGGACAGCTTCCCATTAGCTGTGTATGAGGCAGGGCCTCTAAATGCCAACCACAGACAGATGTCCTTCAGAGCAGCCACTGTCCTGGAGAAGTGACAGCAATAGACTAGTGAAGAAATATAGAGGTGTTCAGGATTGCAGGTGGGAAAATGAAGCAATAAGATAAATGCAGAAATTTTGATATCTGGTCTATCCATTATAGGTCTTCCTTAGAGGGAAGATACTAAAACAGGGTCAGAAAAAGTCAGAAAACATGTAGAGCAATTCCTTCTCCTCTTTGTGGCCTGTGAATGCACAGTGAATGCATGAGATTTGCCACTGAAACTGATTCGCTGGATAATTTCTATGAAGCATTTTCAGTGCGTGTAAGCTTTGCCTTGAATATTCAGTGCCCTCTTTGTTTTGTTGATACATCAGCATATGTTTCTTCTCTCCGGTTGGGTGGGCACTGATCCAGAGAATCAGATTTCCAATTAAAAATAAGGCATGTATTTTATGTGAATGCAATTTTTCATAATTTGTCTTTCCCTTGAAGCATCCTGCCAGCAAACTCATTTGCTGGGGGATTCACGGACAGCTGGAGGAGCAAAACATCAAAACAGTCTTGGGAGCATTGAGATGACTAAGCTGGGTTTCCCAGCATGCCTAAGCTCATCCAGCCTCAGCATCCTCCTCTGGAACAGGTGGGATTACTGACTCTGGCTGGCCAGAGGGCAGCCAGGCCATGGGGCTGTTGCTGGAGTATTTCTGTGCGTGGCCACACAGAAAAGCCAGGCTGAGGAGCCAGACCTAGAAAACAAACATCTGTGCTACTTGACTGCCTCTACATCCTTCTTCCATTACAAGTAGACAGTGGCGGGCTGTGGAAGGGAAAATCAAGGACTGCTGAAACAGGGAGATCAGGTTCATGCCCTGGTGTGCAGGACCAGGCAGACAGGAAACCTCCAGCATCCCACTCTGCAGGACTGCAGTGACCGACCTTGCAGGACTGCAGTGACAGGGAGGGCAGGAAACCTGAGCCACTGCCACTTACTCAGCATGGCTAACCAAGTACCTCAGGACTTCAGGGAAAAGGCTCATCAACAGCCTGCACTGAGCTCAGCACACACCCCAGCAGTTTTGGCACCACAGGGCATGGTGACCTCTCCATTCCTGTAGCTTGGTGCATGGGAGAACAGGCACACCATGGGCTACACGTGTCCCCAAGGGGTATGAACACAGAGGG